CATTGTTGGGAGCTGTTTTTTTTTGCTTTGCAAATCAGTTTGCTAATTGATCCCACCTAATTTGAAATCGAGACGGTCAGACGAACAGCGGAGATACAACAATTTGCGGCGGCAGACGCTAAAATATTATACCGTTCAGTCATACTGTAAATCTCAATTTAGATTTCATTAGCCTCGCAAATTTTGGAGGGGCAGCCTTCTCAAGGTATTTCATAAAAGTCTTCGTAAAAAAATATGCTAGGAAGCCATAATATGCAGATTTTTGAATGTTATTTTTGCGAAAATACTATTGCTAGACATTTATGTAGATTTTGTTAATAATATTTTTGCAAAAATTATGCACAATTGCTAGACTTTGTTGAGCAATAATGTCATTCACAAATCAGACCGTAACGTAACTCGCTATACGCGTTTGTGAGTTGTAAAAAATTAGTCATAATTTATCCCGAGAAGCAAGCACAATTCGATTGTAAATTTCGGATTTGCGTAATACAAATACAGAGAAGATGACCAACTCACCTGTCCCAGTTGGTTGTAAATTGTAAATACGCATTAGTTTTGCATTAAAACCACAATTAAATGGTAACAAACAATAACGAAACATGAGCCAAACCACTTGAGCCGAGTATGTATGTGATGAATGGTGACGATGATATCTCTTAAAAAACAAAGCCGCAGCATCCTGTTGAAATATTTTAGGGTAAAGTCATGTCCCGGATCTTAAGAATGGACATAATGGAACGTAATGGAAAATTTGGTAGGAATAATGTCCATGCTTTAAATTAATTTTTGAACATAAAATCAAAAATCACAGTGCGGAGCCCGAGTCGGTTGGTATTTAATTTAGGTGGGTATATGATACCACCATTACAACTTTTTAATTTTTCGCCAGATTTTGCACATCTTCGAACTTGATTACTAATTTTTGCATATTCTACACCTGTGCAAAATTTCAAGCCTATTTGATAAATCGGTACATATAAACAGACATACGACCATGACGGGTACATAAGCCTCGCATATTCTACACTTGTGCAAAATTTCATGTCGATTTGCTAAATTTTACGAAGATAATCGACACATAGACAGACAGACGACCATGACGTGTACATAGATAAGCCCTGAATCCGGCTTAAACTGAAAATGCATACATTCAATTGACCAAATTTGATTGCTTCGAAAGCAAAAGTTTTGCCAGAGCTCGTTACATTCACCGTTTTGCTTGGCAAAAGTATTTAGGCAGTAAAAAAAGCCATAAACAAAGCAAACGACACTTGAACAATGCCCGACCGATGTGACAATCGTGATTTATTATTTTTGCTGGGTGGGAGAGAGCTGAAGTTGAGGGATGGGATGGTCTGGCAGATATGCAGAATGAGTGCAATTGGCAATTAAGCATGGTGTGGTTTTCTGCGGTGGGTCGGTGTCTCTCTGCAAGTGATTACTTATCCGAGATAGTTTAGCTATGCATGCCACATAATATGCGAAATGAATAAAATGTAGAACACGGCATTCCAATCGTCGTCCTGATGAGATGAATCGAATTTGGTCCACTCCACCTGTTCTTCTTCATTGCATTAACTACCGAATGAATCGTGGTCAATGGCACAGTTATCAACAAAACAATGCAGCAGAATAATATTTAGGTCTTCTGATACATGAAAACATGTATGAACAACTTTAAAAATTTCCAATATTTATCTGCCTACAGCGACCTTGAAGAAAATCCATTCCATTTCATGCAGATATTCATTCGCATTGTCTTTCGTGTGGTTGGTGGCGAATGCGAAATTCGTAAAATATTGCTGAGCTAGCGGCACGTTTTCTCTAATGGGCATACTAATCAGCAGGGGCCGGGGAACCCGTGGGGACATTAACAGGGGAGTGAGGGGTTTATATAAGATGGACAGATGATGCCGACATCGAACAACCGTGGCGACATTGTCCCCCTGTCCTTCCGCGGCCACTGATAATCAGGCATGCATGGTTTGCTTGCTTGGATTCGATGAAGATGAGATTTGCTGACATAGGAATAATTTTATTCGTATGCACGTTATGCTTTGTTTTTAACCTTATTTATTTGCGCAAAAGTTGAGAGTGACAATGAGAAATGTACATAAGTAAAATCTTCTTGTACTTGATTGTTGATCATGACGCTGATTGTGCCAAGAATAAGAGAAGAGAATGCATATATTTCTCTCTCTCTTTTCGGAATCAATCAATGCCAATTTCCACTTTGTGAAAGAAAATCGTGTGTGGTTTTGGGAATGAATTGAAAGAAACTGGTTTTAGAATTGAAAACAGTCCGGCGTGGCACAATTGGTCTTGGTTTCACGTACAGACAGAAGGAAGGACAGAACACAAGGATGAAAAGATTATTCAAATGTGCACACATTTTACGGAAGGATGAGTGAAATGTTGGGGTTTCATGTCAAATCAGAGGAGTCGACGTCGAAATATTCGTCGGATTGTAAAAGAAAAAAACCGTATTTATGAAAGACATTGATAATATTTTGGGTATACCACCCATCCGTCCATCCAGTGGCCGCGGAAGGCGTGGGGGACATGTGGGGACATTAAGATTGTAAGATAGAGGAGGCCGGGGTTTATATAAGATGGGGAGATGATGCGGACATCGAACAACCGTGGGGACATTGTCCCTACCCTTCCGCGGCCACTGTATCCATCCATCCTTCGAATTAAGAAACAGTAATTCTTAAAGAAACAGGTCAGTTTTCCTTGTTTGTCGTCAGGTCCGACTTTCTAACGAGGATAAATGGGAGCGTTTTTACCTTCTCCTTTGTTTTCTTTATGATATTTCAAAAGAGCATCATTCTTTTTTTCACACTTATTTTTCGACTCGTGTTTCTGTTTTGAATGAGAATTGTGTGGTTTCATTTACTTTTATTGGTCTGATTTAAATTTAAACTGCTATTTACTTAATTTGCATACTAAGGAGTGAAGTGAATGAATGAGCAAGAGAGCAATTTATTTGACAGAAAACGTGGCTGAGAAGGAATTGTTCGTTCAATTTTGGAAAGTATATAATATCATTTATTCTCCGTCTTTCTCCCATTTTTCACTTGTCTCAAACAAACCTTTTTTGCTTGTATGCAAATATAATTGAAACGACCAAGGTGGCATTTGTCACAAATCCACACTTGTTCTTGATTTAGCTGGGTGGTTTGGTTTGGTTTGGTTGTCACTACGAGGGAACAATATCGTATTGTCTGTTTTTTTACTGAGGACATCGACACCTTAATTATTTACATTCCGCTTCTTCTTCCATGGAACGAAACAAATCCCGGACGGATTGTTTGAACGATTGTTTGTTCATAAATAAATAAAACAAATCGAGTTTGACGGATGAATCAAATTTCAAAACAAATACGAATAAGTAGGACAGTGTTTGATTCCAGTTATTGTGTTGAAATTTGTTTAATAATAATATTTCTGCTTGCGTTGCAGTAATGTAAATATTTGACGATTATTAAACGACGCAAAAATGTGGTTGGGTGGATTTTAGCCACTGATTCTCGACCCCAATAGCTCAAATTGCGTATAAAATGTCACTCACTCAATTAAAACAAATCTGGACTAAAATGCATACATACTGTAAAAGTTCTATGTTTTGCGATAATTGTACTACATACGCAGCTTCTGGAAAGATAATTACGCCTCCTCCAGGAATGATTATAAGACTATCATAACGCAATATATTTCATGATTTTATTGCCCCGTTGTTGATGAGAAGAACATAAAAGCCGTGTGTGTCTAATTGGCGAGAAGTAAAGCCAATTTGTGTGAGTTTGGTATATGTAGTTATTCACATGGCGTCGTGGCTGAATTTGATTCACTTTGTATTTTTTGTCTCATTGTTCTTGAGAGAGTTTGAAGGTCTAAATATCCTGCAAGATACATATTCCGACCGTTCAGCTTTAGATTGTGGGGTTTTAAGTCAAACTTGGTTAAACATTTATATCTTCTCCTTTGGTACGGTGCAAAGAAGACATGTGACCGATTTGAGGGGGGGTCAGGGGGCAAAATTCGAGCACATCCTTCATGTACGGCTCCTCTGGGCAATTATGTACTTTATTTATTTTGATTTTCTTGCAAAACCTGGCATTTCTTGGAATTATACTATTTTATCCATGAACCCAAGCTTGTTTACAACTCTCGGCACAATTGTATCAGTGGCCGCGGAAGACAGAGGGACAATGTCCCCACGGTTATTCGATGTCCCCATCTTATACAAACCCCTCCCTCCCCCCATCCTACAATGCTAATGTCCCCACATGTCCCCACTGTAGCTTCCGCGGCCACTATCCTGCTTATGGGTCGATTACTCATACCCCTGATTACTTTTGCGATTGGACTTGTTGTGATTTAAAGATATTGCTCAATACCTGAGAACATGTTTGAATGTTAAGTGCAAAACAATGAATATTGTAATGTTTAATAAGTATTATTATTACGTGGTGCATGAATATGTGAGCGAATTGAATATTATGTTGCGGTTAGCAGAAAGTGAAGCAGTGCTTATCCTGAATTTCCTAATGCCACGGGAAATCCGCAACTTTTTCTCACATATGCATATGCAGATTATAGCTCGACTACCCCACCAGAACGCATTAAAAGTATTGGCCAACCGTGTAAAATAAAATATTAGCAGTAGCAAAATGAAATTGATACCGTATTCATAGAGTTCATCACAAATATCTATATGTGCAGAGGTGAAGTTTATTCAAGCTTATTACACACTTACGGCCGTATTCCGAATCACAAAAAAATCTCCACTTACACTCACACTTTGCTGAGTGTGAGTGTGAGTGTCGATTCTCCACTCAACCCGGTTAGTATTCCCAATGAAATTGAGTCTCCACTCACGAAAGTAGAGAATTTGTGAGTGTGTCAGCTGAGAGTGGAGTTTTCCTGTGAAGACCACTGTTGTCTTTAGTTACACTTTTTCATTGTGTAAATAATTAATTTAATAATTAAAAATGTCCTCTTCTGACGAATCCACCACCACCGTAAAAGAGTTGGGAACGCCGGTACGTGCCAAACTTCCGGTAATGACCTCTCTCGAGAAGGAAATTCTACTGGGAATAGTCGCGATTCCTAAATTTAAGTGTATAGTTGAAAATAAATCAACTAATTCGATTTGGACGGCCCAAAAGGACGAAGCCTGGGCCAAGATCAGCTTGGAGTTTTGCTCCCAATTGAATGTGACAAAAAGGTCTGGCCCAAAACTGAAGAAATCGTGGGAAAACTTGAAAAGTCGAGCAAAAAAACAGGTAACCAAATGATAACCTTTTTATTAGTGTTTTTCTTAACATCAAACTTTTTGTATTCTGTTCAGGTTTCGAAAACTAAAAGAAGTCGGGGTAAAACAGGCGGTGGGAAAAACAAATACGAAATTTCACCCGTTTCGGCAAAAGTAGTGTCAATAGTACCAGCCCAACTTGCCTCTATAAGCAACCCGTACGATGACGACGCTGTCACATCTGAAGAAGAAGCTGGACGAAAGTCCATTCAAGGTTCGTAAATTAATACGTAATGCAAAGGTTGTTTAATTTTAATAAAATTTGTTAAACTAGAGTCGAGCAAGACATTGGAGCGTGAAGTTATCAGCTCCATCCTGGCTGGCAATAGGTCAGATATCGGGCAGGTGTGAAACATCTCGGGTCGGATTAGTGAGTGCATGCATTGATAAATTCTTCGGGTTTTATGGCATTTTCCCTAATTTAAATTGTGTCAATTTAAGGTCCAGAGGAACTCTGCACGGGCGGCTTGAAGAAAGTAGTTGCACCACGTTTACACAAACGACGACTTCTGGCCGGACAAGAACTGATTATTGAAATGGAGGAGCAGGCACACGAGAAAAAAATGAAATTATTGGATTTACAGATTTTACGGGAGGAAGCTCGTATTAAAATGGACAAGGAGTATTACGTGGCCAGAATGAATTTTTTAGCAAAACAAAATTATCAAATGGTCCAGCATGTTGAAATAATAGGCACACGCGCCTACTGGATGAATAATAATTCAATTAATAATGATTCAATTATATTTTTAATTCAATAAAAAATTGGCAATCATTTCCTTAACTGTTATGTGATAGATTTGTGAAAGTTATGTGAGCAAAGTCAAAAGAAATAAAGCGATTTTTATAACGGAACCATGTTTGACCAGGTCGTATAACTTCTACGAAAAATGGGACAAAACTATTCTAGTTCTAGAGGGGTGACAGTATCCTGTTCATGGTCTTCATCAATTTCTTCCTCAAAAGTGTACCAATTTATCTGTAAACTTGCATTTCAAATACCTACTAGATATATGTACTTATCGATTTGTACAACTGCAAAGTACATGCTAATTGATTCAAATCAATTTCAAGTAATTATTACCTGATTTTCCAATTAATTATAGCGTCCAAAAAATAATTTCCCTTAATTTTTACTTCAACTAGTAATAATATGTTGAGATAAATACAAATTTAGCAAATTTTGACGTCAAAAGTGCAAAGTGACCAACCAAAGGTAGCTCCGTGAGTGACTAGAGAAAGTGAGTGAAAGTTCATAATTTTGTGAGAGTGGAGAAAAACAAATTGTATTCATAATACCAAACAGAAATCTCACGAAAGTGGCACTCACTTTTTCACCCAAAGAGCCACTCACACTTTTCCGAAATCTCAACTCATGAGAGTGGAGATAATTTTCATTGGGAATACGAAATGTGAGTGGCCACTCCCACTCACACTCAAAAATATGATTCAGAATACGGCCGTTAGTGTTTCAACATGGCTAAATATATTTAATAATATTAGCAATGAAACAGTTGTTTTTTATAATGTGACATTTTCACAGTTGGTCTAAAGGTTAATATGTAAAGAATTAGCAAATTCGATAAGTAACTAAATATTTAATTGTGTAAGTAAATTGCCATCTCCCCGGCCTGAACCATTTAACCACATAAGTTATGATGCAATCAAGTACATACATATGTACATACATATAATGCAATAAAAGCATGTATGTAATCCTTTTTAAACCCAGATCAAAGCCTACATATTTAAATACTTATAGATTTGAGATTAACTCTAGAATAATTAAATATTTGTCAATCGTATCCAAAATTCTTCGCAATTTCCTCATCATTAGTTCAGGAAAGTTGTACTAGTCTCGTGCAATACAATTTTTAAACTGTATGTATGTATTTATGAATGTCCTGCCAATTTGTACCTGTTAACAAGTTAGAAGACATCATGGTATTATCAGCGCAGAGAGAGAAAAACAAAGCCATCAAAATGCTAAAATGGTAATGAAGATGATGACGATGAGTAAGATGCACTCGTGGTCTGGTCGATGGCTCATCATTGTCGTAAAGGTGGCGATGAGTGGTTTGTCGCGTACACAGAATTCTCACACGAGATGGCCTTTGAAGAAATTAAATGTCACGGGAGACAATTTTAAACCGGGATTTTAAGGCCGTGACGAGTATTTTTATAAGTTAAATAAGCAAAGTGGGCTAAAAAATAGATGTGCTAGGAGAGAAATGTTATCTTTGAAAGTGTGACACTGCGTCGGGTCAGCTTATCTAAAATTATGCATTCATTTATTACTTCATATCACGTTCTAAAAGAAATTGTCGTCTGTAACATTGTTGCAGAAACATTATTACGGGGAACAACAAGTCTTTTTGCAAAATTAATTCACCTCAGGACAACGATTAGTATTATTCATCTATTTAAATCGATTCGATACATTATGCATGCTTTCTAGATAACCAACCAATACTCAATTGAACTCGAAAGAAAACCAAATTGTGTTGGAATTTGTTTAGAGTTAAGGTAGGCACGGAATAATTATCACGTCCGCTCTGCACCACCAAACCTTTTGTAATTTATTTAAATTTACATTATCGTCATTCATTAGTGGATCCGCTACATTCTGCTTTTGTCGAGGTTCTAATTTGTGGACAGGAGTTTATCTTGAGTGGTTTTCTTAACAAAGCTAAATTCGTCCAGCTCGACAATTTTATGGTGAGTCAGACAGTGGCGTCAATAATAGCTTTGCGAATTGTGCAGAAAATTGTTTTCAAAACTTGGATTTCATAAAATGTAAGAGAAATTTTAATCATGCGCCTATTTTGCCTACTTTTTGCGGTTTGGTGTCTGCAATTTAATTTGCAATGCAAAAATGCATACAAAATTAGCGATTCGTTATTTAATTAAAAAACTAATACTCGTAATTTTCAAATTTCTCTATACAAAATTGGTATTTTACATTAATCGATTTTGCATAAATGCTTGAACAATACATATTTTAAATTATTATCTCTAATAAATAGGGCAATTTCAATTTCTCTGTGATTATAAGATTCACCCAGATTTCATAAATATTACGCAAAACAAGGTGCATCTTGTTATCTAACAGCGTCACGCCTCATCCTCAGTTCCGTCGTCATAAAATGATCAACTTTTCTTCTTCTAGAAAAGTTTTTTTTCTTATCTGCTTCGTAAAAGTTGATTAGTGACTAGAAGACCCATACATACCTGCATCATCATGAATATTTTGTCAGATATCCATCCATCCAGTCCAGCCCGCATGCAAGAAAATTATTACTCGTTATTCTGCATATTACCTGGAATGTTATTCAAATCAGGTTCATAAAATAATAGTCAAGTCAGCCTCACAATACCTATCACGCTATAAGCCAAAACCTGACCAAGTAAAGTTAACTAATCTAATGACGCCGTTTGATTTTTGTAAAATAAAATAGGTGCAGAATCAGGATTGAACACTTCTCGTCGTCTCATCGCTGCTACTACGAACAGGAAAATAGTTTTAATATCTAAAACTCGCAGGACAAGTTTCTTTCTACGTGCGAACCTTGGACGACCAAGTATTTGACGTAATTGTGCAAAGCAAAGCAAACTCAGGAGGACGTGTAAAGTAATAATATCCCTTCATTCAATTATTACTATTGTAAAGCCTGGGAAAGTGGAAGACAGACAATAGTATAGTGCTCGAATTTTTACACGAGTTAATTGCGCGTAAAAATATTGCAAAATTGTGCGACGTGACAGTTAAATATTCACACCACCACGAAAGACAATACATCACGGATTATTAACGGATTATCAAGTTTTTGCCGCTATACAAGTAGCAATTTACAAGAAAAAAATGAATCCCAAAAATAAATCCATCACTTCCCTCAACAACTTATCATCAAGACAAATCATGGAACAAGACGAGGACGACGGTCAAAGTGTGTCATCATGTGGGATCGACCTGGAAAATATGCACCCCCCGACGACCCCCGCCGCCGCCGCCGCCACAAATATGAACGGCCGATCTCAACCCACCTTGTTGAGCATGGTGCATCATAAATGGAGAAAAATTCTGAAACGTGATTCCGCGGAAATTACCCCGTCGGATCCCTCCTTTAAGACGATCTATTTGGGAAACGTGGTCACGACTTGGGCGAAAGGGGAAGGTTGTCTGGAACGACCGGCGTCGGCATTGTGGAAAAATCATTGCCAAGGCCGTGGATCAATTAAGATGCTGATTAGTGTGAGTATTTATAAAAATATTAATTGTTTAAATATTTATTTTTTTACCGAGTTATTATTAGAATTTGACCGTGAATTGTGGGTTTTAATTAGACGGCTCCTTCCGGTCTGAAGGCGCAAACGAGGGAGCACGGACTGACGGAATATTGGGCGAATAGATTAACTTATTGTGGAGTTCCGCCTGATTATCCTAAATTGTTTTGTTGGATTTACCGGTAAGTTGTTTATCATTACCAAACATTGGGCAATTATTTCTCCAAAATTATTATTACTTTACTTTACCAGAGAGTAAATAATAATTAAATAATAATAATGACCATGTCAGTCAAGTTCAATGTTGAAGTTTGCATGCAAATTTAAGTGGCATCATTATTATTAACGTCATAATCATTGATGATGATGATCATCATGATGCTAAGGTCAATGCCGACTGAGTAAATGGATTAATTAATTACTGATTCCATATATTCCCATTATCTTTGCAGACATGAAGGTCGAAAACTAAAGCAAGAACTTCGATGTCATGCGGTCCTCTGTTCGAAAGAAATCCAAGCTCACAGACTTGCCAACTCCTTGAAGAATAGACTTACCGAGGCGCTCTTTGACTTTAAGAAGGAAAAGATTTTACGCCAGAATGCCAGGTATGAATATAATATAATATGCAAATTCAGAACAGTCGTAATTTTTTGTAACTTTTTCAATAATTTGTTTTCTGCTTTTTTTTAGACTATCCATCGTATCGAGCTTGTACAACACCTCAGCCACAAAGAGGAAATTGGTACTGATGAATTCCAACTCGCAGAATTATAAGCCGCCACTCGAGAGATCCAAGTACGTTAAAGACATGGCTGCATACTTATCAATTAATTATTTGTGGGATGTGACGGGATTATTAATGATACGATTTTCCGTGCTCAGGTCTGCCCCAAAACTCTCCTGCATCGAAGAATTCGAAGAGGAAGAGAACGAAGAAGACTATGACGATTCTCAAATGACAATCCCCGAATATGAAGCCGTCAATGCCGTGACGACTTCTTATCTTCCCTCCCATCACCCCGAAGTAAACGGGGACCTGAGAAGGTCACCCTTATCGGAAGAATCCTCCTCCACTGAACCCCACATCCCTCTCTCCTCCTCCGAAGAAGTCGTCGTCGAAACGAGTCCCATCAGTCACCGGAAATCGTACCCTCCTCCCACCCAAGTCATTCACCACCCGGAAGGGTCCCGCCGTCCCCACACGATTCCAATGGATGCCAAATTGAACCTCCCCTACATGACCGGGTACGACAAAGTCATGCACCTCCTCGACATGCCGGCTGGGGATTCTCACCAACTTTTGTTGGACGACGAGGACCACGATGACGACGACCAATTCTCCTTTGCTGGCCGTAACTCTGACCCTGTCGCGTCTAGTCCGCCGGGGTCCGATAGAGATTCAGAGTCCGTAGTGGATTCAAGTTGTGGGGAGGACGAGTATAATTCCAAAGTTGCGAGGAGGCGAAGGAGGAGGAGCAGTAGCTGCGATCAGAAAAATGACGACCGCGAGGAAGAAATCAATGATAATGTGAGTGACGAAAGTGGTTATTCGGAAGAGGCCGTGGTCAACGTGAGGGGAGAAACGGATCTTAAAATGCATCCCAGTGGGTCTCCAGTAATCCAGAAGTCCAGTACAAAGAATTTGTCCAGCAGTACAATCATAATTATGGGAGGAGCGAATCATCACGGCCCCATGATCACGGACCCCGCCGCCGCCAGAAAGACCAAGACCTCGACAACAACCACGTTCCGGTCGGACGACAACGGTGGCACGGCCGTCGCTACGACGTTGGTTGTTTATGATAATTTGTGTTTTGAGATCTGAATTTCGAAATTCTTGAGAATGTTTCTGAATGATCATTTTCCGAGTTTTATTAATTTTGAGTTTTTATTTTATTTACCACCCCACCGACTGTTGTTTAGTCTGTATTTTTTGTCGCGTTGTTTTATTTGAATATTATGTAGTTATTTAATAGTCAACACTCGAAACTATTGTACAACTCATTACGTTATGCGCATATAGATAATAATATGTAAGATTATTATTTAAATTTTCTAGGTTATCTAGTACCGATAAGGGGATATCATAGGTACACACTTTCTTCCAGAATTTTAATCATGTTTCAACGCGATAATCGTATATATAATATGAATACATAAATTGTTGCCTGCAATATGCGCAATATGCTTGAGAATGACTGAACATACTTATCATAATTATATACAGTTAGCTTAAAAGAAGATAAGATAAAAGTGTAATTAGGAAAATTGTCTTGTCGGGAAAAGATGCAATACGTGTATTACATAATCATCATTAGAAAAGAAGAAAAAACACAACAAACAATCTTATCTTATCGTGGTGTAATTTCTGTTTGTGAAAAAAGTGACAAATTCAGGTTTAACTTTCCAAAAATGTGTTACTTATCATAATTCTTGACGCTGTACTTATCATCAAATTATTGTTCGTATATATATTTAGAGATAACTTTACTTTGAAAGAATAACGCTTAAAAATGTTTTCACACTTTTGTTTGTTTCTTTCTTTTTTCTTGCGTTAATGATAAAAATGTTCCTTAAATGACTTCCTTTACAATGAACAAATCGATATACTTACTTATATAATTTATAAATTATTAAGCCATCATTATATATGTAATTATGTTATTATTAGAGTTCTGAGATTGTTAATTATTAATTGATAAGCTTTGATTAGCCTGAGCAGACATGAACAAAATATATTTAGCCAACTATATCTTTGCAGATTAAAGAGATTGCGTTTAAAGAAATATGAAAAAAATGTGTGTATTCTTCTCTCATTTTATTTTAATTTTCGTTGATTTTAACTAATTCATAATTTTCATAAACCATTTTCATAAAAAACTCTGCATTTTCATGAAAATTCAGACATGAAAAGCCATGAAATTCTCCCTGCACCCCAAAAAATTGCACAACACCGCCAGATTTAAATCGTGTAAATACTGGAACTGTTTATTTACACTTGGATTCCAGAAACTCGGTTATTTTTTCAATAATTAGTTTTTCAAATTTTTTCAAATTTCTTGTTTATGTTTTTGGAAATTTATCCGTTTTAACGTAACGGTTAAATAGCAGAGCAGACCTTTTAAGGATGGTGGCTCCACATATAATCGTATTTTATACCAGCACGTGGAAATATGTGGTGAAACGAGATCGTCCAAGTGAAAATGATATACACGACTTTATGAAGGCACTCCCCACCTTATCGTCCTACTTATCTTGTGCAGTGTGTCGAAAACTACTTAAGGGGGATCCCTTGTTCTCGGTAGAGCTGTGTGACCACTATGTGTGCAAAGGTACGTAGAAAAATGTGAATATAAATAATTCATCAAGTAATAATTGATTCGTTACAATTCACAATTAGATTGCAAAGGGCTGGCGAGAGAGGCGAATCAAATTTGCGGTAATTGTCGAGATTGGGAAGATTTTTCCGAGGACGAAACGCTTGTAGCACTACTAGCAGGACATTCTCGATACTGCCGGATTTTTCTACGTTCTTCAGATTGTACCACCCTTTTAGAGAAACAAGAGGCTTCGTTGCCCTCTATTTCGAATTCCTTGGTAGTGGATACGTTTCAAATTTTGGATATTTTACAAGAAGGTGCAAGTATAGGAGGAGGAAGCAAGAAATCTATTATTAAATCTGTTAAAGAACCAAGAGTAAATTCAAGATTACATCCAAAAGATGATATTATTCTTAGTAGTAGTAGTAGTGACAAACAAGATAGTAAACTGAAAATAGTTCCAAACAGCGTGGTCAGTTGTAATAGTTCTTCTGTTAATAATAGTGCGAGTAGTTCCTCCAAATTTATCCATAAACCAATAACAGTTAAAGAAGAGAAACTTGTTCAAGTGATATTACAAGATGTGGATCATAACGATGATTCGATTGATATCAAAATTGAACCTGTTTATCAAAGAAGAGGCGACGATGATGATGAAGATCATGATATGGTAATAATTACTTAAATTATGCAAGAATATTATTATGTTACCTTAAGAAAATGAGTGTTGAACTAACAATGGAGGTCTCCCAACGTATGCTCACAGATTTGGACGAAATTAGCGTCAATCGATCACAAATATAATTAGTATGAAATTTGCAAATGGAACTATCTGCCAATGCGCAGGTTTATATTAATTATATTAATTATATTAATTATATTTGTGATCGATTGACACTAATTTCATCCAAATCTGTGAGCATACGTTGGGAGACCTCCATTGTAAGCTGTTTTTTTTTGTAGGAATCGGATTCTGAAAATTCAAAGGATGCCAAGTGTTTAGATTACGAAGAAACAATTAATGCCGAAAATGAAATTGCTGAAGGTAACGAAGATGACGACGACGAAATGCCAGCAGAGATGGAAACGGATGTAGCAGAGGCGGAAGAACATCCCGGAGAAAGTATAAGTACCACGACCACCAATCCCCAACCCCACACCCATTCACTTCCTACATCCATAGCGTTTTCAATACCCTCGCCTAGTGGAGGGGCTCCTCAAGTGATATATGCACGAACAACGTCCTCGTTTCCTCAAACAGTTCAAAGATTATCGTCCTCTTCTTCACCTTTAAGTCTTTCTGCCACGCCGCCACCACCCGTGATGCAGTTTTCGCCCAGACTCCACTCTTTCGTCCTGACCAGACCAATTGCCACTATTTCCACCAACCCAGGAGCAACAACAACCACACGGACCTTGTCTAGTGGTGAAGTAAGGCTTCAGAGTGGTCAAACGATACGACTGGCACGATTAGCGTTGGCAGATGGTAGACCAGTGACGATGGTTCGGCAGCTACAAGGTCCTCCAGGGAGTAGTGGAATTAGACATATTACACTTCCAATCAACACGTCAGATCTCATGAACAAAAAGATAATCGTTAGGCCTGCCGGAGGTCCAAGCACTTCTGCGACGTCGTCTCAATTGCAAAGATGGCCGGATGCGAATGCCGTCCTTCAATATGCTTCAGGTTCTGGGACCGTCATTTCTCAATCTCAGGGACTTCACACCGTTACGATATCCCAATCTCAACCTATAATAACAAGACCAGCAGTAGATACCACTACCACCACTTTGTCTTCGCCTTCGTCTTCTAATATTTCTTTTGCCACGACAAATACTCAGACCAAGCCCAATACTAAGATATACACGGGGGGCGCGGTAACAACGAACCACCTTTACAACAATGCAAGCAGTAGTGGTAGCAGCAGCAGCAGTACTTCCTCCCCTTCGCCGACTACCACGGCGACTTTTACGGACGCGTCTGGAAATATTATTGGCACCACGATAAGTTTACCGGAGGCTTTGAGGAAAACGGTGAATGTGAGTTGTGCCGAAATTAGTTACTAGAATGTGTTTACTTAAATTTTCTTATTATGAATTTTCTAGATTCGAGTTCCTCCCACAAAGAGTAAAACGTCGACGAAAGTTCGTACCGGGTGTAGGTACGTTGATGCCTAACTTAACTAAAGTTCTGAGAGGATAATAGATCATGACCAAATTAAATATTAATTAATCTGCATGTTTAATAGGTGTGGAAATGCCGCATCCCAACCTAGTAAACTAACATGTTGTGGACAGCGTTGCATTTGCTATGTTGACGGGAAAAGTTGTGATTTGAAGTGTCGTTGTAAAGGCTGCAGTAAGTAAAATTGCCAATTATTTTGAATTCTCACTATTTAAACAAATTTTTATGTAAGCAAAAAAACTGTAAAAACTTTTCCACAGATAATCCTTACATCCCGGGAGGAAAGAAGCTTATGCAAGGTTTAAATGCTGTGATAGATACAAAAACCAACCACGCCGTTCCCATCATGTCTGCTGGCGGAAGTAGTATGGCAGCAAGTAGTAGTATTGGCCATGGAGGAAATATTTCCACCATGAACTTTGTTGCTGCTGCATCGTCTAATTCAAACACGATTGTTACAACTGCAATGAGCTCTCCAACCACGATGAATTTAGTTCCAATGATGGCACATGGTTCCACCACAACGTCAATGGCTCCGCATATATTTACGAGAATTCATCATCCTGGTAATTACATAATTATACACTTTTTTTTAATGCGATGACGCTAGTGGTCTCGCTTCGATTTTGACGAAACCACGATAATTATACAGATAAATAATTAAACAGGTGTTTCAGGATTTTTCATAATGCTCAGTTTGAACGAAATTATGATGGAAAACGTGAGCGAGAATTTGCATTTTCACCGTGAAATGTTTCTTTCCAAGGGAGAAAAATACAAATTCTCGCATGCGGATTCCATCACAATTTCGTTTAAACTGAGCATTATGAAAAATCCTGAAATAAGTGTTTAATTATTTATCTAATTATTTAATTATTTATCTGCATAATTATCGTGGTTTCGTCAAAATCGGAGCGAGACCGCTGGCGTCATCGCATTGTGAGTGGTACAAGACCTTATTAATTGTTGTACTTATCTAATTTAGGAACTTCTGCACAACCAACGACGACAGCATTCTCGCAAATCATACCTGTTGCCAATTTTACGGGCCAGTTCGGTCAGTTCATACCTCTTCCGATATCCTTGATATCTCCTGCCCATGCCGGACATACCATTCAATCACACTCGGATACGATTCAGCTACAAAATATCCAGTTGAATCCGAACCTGAATTTACAAAACCAGTGAAAAGCTAATACCTATATATTTATGTATCTCTGAGCTCAAACTTTAACCCTTCTCAAGTATTCATTTTATGACCAATTGACTAATTTTTTTAAACTTAGTTAAGTGATAATAGCATGTATTTAATATTAATGATGATGATTCGTTAGTAATTGTATGTAACGTGGTATATAAAATGACTGATATCATACAAAGGAGAATTTATAACGAGTATTAGTACAGATAATAGAAAACAGCTTTTATTCAATTTGGTTTCACCACGGGGAGTTTTTTTTTAATTTACAAACGACACGTTCACACAAGTGTGCATAGCATAATAACAATGAACAATTTAACTTTGTTGTTTACCACAAGATAAAAATGATTTATAATCAATGATCATCATTAAAATGGACGATAATCAGTTGGGTAGCGGAGAAGATGGACGCCTTCCCACAACCACAAGCAGTGATTCCATTGCAAGGCTTTGAAAGCGTCTATGATTTTTTGATCTATTTCTGCGTTCCATTTGCCTGGTTCAGATTCGATGTGCTTCAACAAAAGACGCAACGCTCGGCAGTATTGTTTTCTGGCCATGGCGTGGAAGTAAGCAAATTCCACAACCTGAACAATACAACAAAAAATGGCATTTTATAACACTCCGTAATACTTACAATGGGGGAGGTCTCCCAACCTATGCTCACAGATATAGACCAAACTACAAACCAAAAAAGAGGAGAAACCCCACCCCCAAGGCTGGCAAATTTTTCGTTTTCTAAATTTGCTGCGTTTTTTTCCGCTTTGGACGCAAATATTACCACCAAGCCTGCACATTGGCAAATAGTTCTATTTGCAAATTTCATACTAATTTTATTTGTGATCGATTGACACTACTTTGGTTTAAATCTGTGAGCATACGTTGGGAGACCTCTATGGTTAGTTGCATATTTAGTTTGCTTGTATTCCGTTATTAGTGCGCATTATGGGTATGTAAACGTACCCGAGCATCAGTTATGTCCAAATACTTTTGAATTTCAAAAAGAATCTCATCCAGCGTTTCAATCGTAACTGACTTGTCCAACGGAGTCGAAGAGGTGATGGTGCCACTGTTACTATTTTTCAACAGTTCCGCGATGGCCACACCTTTTTTCACGAGAGCTTCAATCACAGCAGTCCGCTGTTTATCCATCATTTGTTTAGTTTTCCCATTTTCTTGCTGTGCAGACGATCGATTGCCAATAAAAGCCTAGTGATAATTAATTATTCGATTTTAAGACTAACAATAATATTAGATAATCTATATTGAATGGTAGCAACCCTTATTACCAATAATGCCGGTTGATCAACTAATTTCAACACTTTGTCGGCTATCTCAATCATCTCCTTGCAAATTTCTAGAGTTTTGAGTCGTTTCCCGGAAGTAGAATAATTTGCGTTGGGTGTGTCTGAATCTGATTTCGGGCTCGAGGAAACGCTAATGTCACTTTTGGCTCCTGCCGTACTGCCGTCCCCGTTGGATGAGGGGGTTCCTCCATTATCCAAAAACTGCAACCTTGCAAGATGCAATGGCAAATGAGAGTCACAGGATGCCATTAACTTGTCATATAATTTCTTGGAATCTTCATTTTCTAATTTTGTAATCCAAGTAATTTGTACATCTCGTAATTGTTCAGTCATTTCGTCCAGTTTAGATTTGGCAGGGTCTTTGCTGGATGGTGATTTTACTTTTGCAGGGGCATCCGGAAGTGACACCTTTAGAGGGTAAGTCCACAGCTTCTTGCCCACCTCGTCCTTGTGAACGCTCAGAGTTCCCTGAAGATAAAGTGTTGAACTGGAAGGCAGTGTTTTCAGATTCCTGAATAATCAGTAGTTCAGAATCAATTAAATGTAATTAACCAAACTAAATTTGTGCGTAGAACATTGAATAAATCGTTGCTATATATTTACACGCACTTATCAGTAATAATCGTTGATAAGAATAGATTTAGAGAACTCTCCCTCTTCAAAACTGCGGACCACCCGGTGCCTTTTTTACTCGGTTTAAAATCTTGCAGCTCAAATTGATTTTGATAAACTTCTAGCGCTATGGAAGAAGCAAGTTTAAGAGACATGAGGACAGGAAGGGAAGTAATTTGGCTGTCGCCTGTCCACGTGGCCGTGTTTGTGGCTCCATTGGCCCCAGAATTTCCAACCATTAGTTTTTCCAAGGCTTCCCGTTTCTAAGAATTACATTAATAATTGTATTATTCTAGGAAACTTTGATATCGTAGCTCCATATACTCACCTCATGACGAACGTGAAGACGAAGGACAAAGTCTCCTTTTTCCAATTTTACGTTCCACTAAAAATATAATTCAAACATGTTAACTTCTATCACACGTATTACACACTATATACAACCAAACCTACCTTGGAAGGATAGGCATCTCCACACCCCAAATAGCGCTTATTCTTATCATAGAGCTGCCACATTTGACTTTCATACTCGCTTTCGTACAAAGTGTCACTGAGCAAGCAACTGCAAATTTGTATTTAATTTGATATGTATATTACTATATAAATCGTAGGTCAGGTAGTTAATATTATGTAAAATAGTACCAATTAAATGTCGCTTCTGCAGCTTTAGACAATGAGAAATTATACGTATTTTCTAGTTGATAAATTACTCGTCCTTGGGGAATCATGTCTCTTGGCTCTGTGAGTGAGTATATATAAGCATAATATTTATATTGATGATTAAAGTAATTTTTGCACAACTTGAGTAAAACGCTCACCTGGTAAAGAAACAATCCGGGAATCACTTGGGCGCAAAAGGACTACTTGCTGCTTAAGGGCGGCAGCACATTGGACGTCTTCAGCGCCGAAAGCATTGGTAACGGCAAATTTCTGGTACAAATCTCCAGCCGACACGACGATTTCTCCCTTGTTCAAAGACAAGCTTCTAAAGGTCAGAGTTCCAAAAAGTGAGGCCATTTCTACCGGTTCAGCCCACCAGCGACCAACGACAACTTCAATCACTTTGCCCTCCTAACATAAATAGAAACTTTAATTTAATTACTACGAGTAGAATTAAAATCGAGTAATTCACATACCGTCACTCTAAATGGAATTGTAGATTCTTCCAAAGGATTCAGTGATATCATTTTATAGTGCTCATCGGCTTTACAAGACTGTCCTGGATTTAGAGTCATAACATGAATGACAAAACGGGCAGTTGCATTTGCAGCTATCGGATCTGAGGCTCGCATCCCGGGTGCCTCTGCCAGCTTCAGGTTGAGAACTTGAAAAAGTAATTAGTTCAAAAAGTGAGTCATAAAATTATTAATTTGTAGTGGTGTTGTGATTGTGCTTCATTAGTTGTTAGCACCTACCTGCCCATGAAGCACCTTTCGGAACCACCACGAAATAACGCTTAAGCAGACCAGGCTCATACATAACAGGCGGAATAGTAAATACAGGCCGAGACAGTGGACTGGGCGTCAGTTGTTCAGGAATGACCACGGTCACGTATACCCTGAACACGGGTCCCCTTTGCAACCCGCTTGAATCGTAAGCCTGAATTTCTGCGAAATGAACTCCCTTCGCGAGACCCTCAACGTCCACTTTTACGTTGAAAGGCCTTTGCAGATTTGCCAGATCAAAATAGTTGGGGACGTGGACAAATGGAGCGGTGCTAACGAGACAGAGATTCATTCTAAAATTTATCTTGTCTTCGGGCTCTGAAATAAAAACATCAGGATTTATTAACACCTCAAATACATTCATTTATACTTATACTCGACTACTATTTGTTACATACCAATTAAATCTTCTTTGAAAAAGACTGGGTCAACATTAACAGTATATTCCTTAGATTTGTCAACAGGGGGGTCACGAATGTAAATTGACTTGAAAGGCCAAATCGATCCACAGCCTTGCGTGGCAGTCACAGTAATATTGAACCTCACATCTACACAAAAACGGTTGTATGTAATAATAAATGTTTTTCTGCATACATCGTATACAATACACAAGTTTTCATTCATACTCTCCTTTCTCACCTCGCTCTGGTAGTGATGATAACTCTTCTAAAACTTGGAAAGCTTTCTCAACCTAAAATCATAATTCAATTTAAGGTCCTTAGTTCATATAACTAAAATAGTTTGACAAGCATACCTGGACCAAACCATGTCCTTGAGCAAATGGCTCAGCACTTGGGACTTGTGCCGCGCTATGTTCGAGAGCTATAGACAAAATTTTGATACATGTCGCAAATTGGAAACCATAAAAAAACAGTGATTACTTACACTTCCTGACACTGTAAGGAGACCACTTTATCCCTTTTTGGACGGCTCCAGATAGAATCAAGGCTACAAAAAGTAACATTTTACTGGTACAAAGTTTTGCCAATGAACAGTTTTTATGATTATTCAACTTACCAACACATCCACTCACATGAGGGGCGGCCATGCTGGTCCCATTCATGAGCTGAGCGCTATCAACATCAAGTATAATTGTTTGACATATTTAATTTGCAATGTTTAAATGACTGACTAGCTGACTAACCTACGCAGAGTGAAATTAGGGACACTGGTAATGGCCCCGCCTGGAGCACAGACAGATACGCCTAAATCACCGTCCAAAGTTGGGCCTCTTGAGCTCCAAGAGTATCTGAAAATGTTAATAGAATTGAAATTATTCAAAATTCCTTCAAAGTATGTTCAAAATTATAAAAAAAACTATACGTACGGCATTCCTGGCAACTTTTGTCGAAGCGAATATCTATAGCGGAAAGAATAATACAGTTTACCACAGTAATTTGGAGCCAGTCATTATATTAATTTTTAAATTGCTCACTCTGCACTCATCATATCGGGCGATACGTATGCGCCGACACCAATTATCACCTATGTAAGACATTAAATTTATTTATGATTGTCTAAATATAAATATTTTGCTATGCTATATTACATTCGAGTTGAGCCAGGGCGGACTGCCGACAGTGCTTAAGGCCGGACCGTGATTTCCTATGAAGTTATTTTAAATTTCAACCATGTCGACGTGCACAAAAAGCATCAAATCAAATTATACCTGCAGACGCGACCCACACAACTCCATGTTTATCTACAACTTCTTTCATTAGCTCGCCAATTCGTCCCACAGTATTCCAGTGGGCGTGTTCTCCATAAGACATGTTGATTACGTGGATACGATGCGAATTCTGCATAACGTATGCCATCGCTCGTACTAAAGCTGTACCCGTTTCCATACTACCGAGCCTCCCATCTCCAATCGTAAAGGACATAATTTGTGCTCCAGGTGCAACCCCGTTCAGATTCGGATTCTCAGGGAAATATCCAGAAGCAATTGATGACACGTGAGTACCGTGGCTTCCTTGTAAATCAATACAATTGGACACAATCAAGATTTTTGATAGTTTACGTAAGAAAGAATGAATTAAAGAATGAATTATTACCACAAATGCCAACAATTTCTAGAATATTTCCATTGTCATGAATGTTAACTGAGACATTCATCTGGTCGGCTAGATAAAAGAATGTTATTTAAGCACATTTGTTATTGTCGCATTTTCAAATTTTATTTTCAAACCTATTTACCTTTCGACAATGGTGCAAATTCCTGTCTTTTTGTAAACTCTCCTAAAACAATGCTAGATTCCAAGTCCTCTATACTTAAACTTGTCCTCCATTCAGTTCCGTCATGCCACACGAGACAGTCCAACAGTGGTCCAAAATCTTTATACTTCTTTTCTAACGTTTGCAAGACCTAGGACAATTGAAATGCAATAAGTATTTTATAAATTAATTAATTAAAGTTGATTAAACCGTACCTCCAGTTGTGCTTCAATTTCTTCCTTTTCCAATTTTTCAAGCGGTGTAATATTGTCAGCATTTTTGTTCGCATTTTGATCCTTTGTTAGCTTCCGATTTGCTTCTACAGATGACAACAATTTTAACAATTTAACCAATAAACGGTACAATGCATTTTAGAGATATGTTGGATTTGGATTAGGGAACAGATAAGCTGATTTATAAACGAAGAAGTTGAATATGATAAATCACCAGCAGTAAGTAGTCGATGTTGTTGGTCCCAATTTTCATCCCTTCGTTTGGCCTCAATTCTCTCCTTCACTTTGGGGGTATAAAGTTCGAACAGGGGTTTTATTCCAATGTGATACTTTCCAGTGGGGTTGACCCAGCTTGACGGTATCTAGTTAATCCAAGGGAGGATTATTTATAGATAAGCCACATAAATAATTGTCAATAATCGAAGATACCTTCAATTTGCGACCTGACATTCCAGTAATGATTCCATCTTGATCCGACCGAGTAACGACCGTGGACGTGTCGACATCACCAGCCCCACTGCAGTCAAACCTTTCAATAATTTTGGGAAGTCCGGTTGAAGTCACCTTGTATAAAAATCAATAATAATTATTAAATTATAATATCCCCAGCCAATTAAGATAATGCCTTATCTTAAAATTATATTTACCTTTAACCCCGGCGCCCCTGGGTCAACGCCAGAATCAAATACGGCAATCGTAATTCCTCTCCCATCTGAGTCGGGATTTTTCGACAAAAAGTTTAAAACTCCAGTCTCATTCTTTGGACAGAGATGAATCGACGGGAAATCACTTTCCTTCAATGTCGCGGATGTCAAACTCATGATATTGTCTTCAATTTCTTTTCCCCAGGATCCACCAGATTGGGTCGAGTAAGGTTTAAATGTGTGTTTGTTACGTAAGGTAAATAACAAACACCTTATCAGTCGTACTCTCACCAGGGCGAATTTGTATGGAGGGAGACGAGTGGAAAATTTATGATGACCATATGATTCAGATGAAATTGATGAAAACTAATAAGCAAAAATAAATGTAAGAGACATGCTTAATTAATTATAGTTAAAATTAACCTTACCAAATTTTTCACAAAATCAAAGTAAAATCAAAAGTTTCCTGATCGCGTATAATTCTGAGATTTGAGTAGAATGAAAATGACAAGACAGAATTTAGCTGCCCTGCTGAATCTCCAGACGGCAGATAGAAAGCAATCTTCGAGCAGACAGTTGGCCAGCATTTTCGGTCTGAATATGAAATTCAGACTTTTTTAGTTTTTTGATAAATTTAAGATTTGACAGGACAGAACATGCTAAAATTTTTAAAAACGTAGGAAAAAAAACTTTAGAAAAAAATACGATTGCTTGAGTCGATTTCACAGTGCGAAATTTACCTAATTAATGAGAGATGGATGGAATGACTCGGAATGAGGCGATAAACTAGAAAGTATTTTTATTAATTCTAATAATTTCATTATAAATATCATCACATGAAGATTCAACCATATATATCTATGCATTTGCAAAATTGTTGCTCTTTATGGCATGCAGGGTATAACATTGATTTCATAGAGCTACCGATATTCAGACAATCGTTTTGGAACGGTAAAGATGACGCCATTAAAAGATTCGTATTTCTGCTAACAAGCACATCATTTCATTGTCAATAAAATGCCCACTAAAATGCGGACACATTTTGGCTTATTCATTATCAAATGAGTGTATCTTCATCGTCTTCCTTTTTACGTCCTTGACGACTTTTTGATTCCTTGTGACTCGGTGGACTTTGTTTCTCCTCGGTGGGGGTTATATCCAAATTTTCCAGCATTTGGAGACTGTACCGTTCCGCGGAGCCTGCTGGAACATAGATAAGAGATTATACATTGGTTTATTAAGGATGTGTAATCAAGAATTGAAATAGCATGCATTTGCTGATGCAGTATAATAAGCAGAGCATGCAACTCGGATTTAATTAAACATGCAGTTTTAGATACGCGTGAGAGTGTGATAATCTACTTAATCTACGTAACTTCCGACCTATAAGGATGATAGATAACAGCTAATCAATAGAGGAGACATGACCCATAAAATAAAATGTCACCTCTGCCTGATAACCTTAATTTAAGTGTTGACACTTGTAATACGCATTAGGAATCGAGTTCAAGAATAAGACAATTCATGAAAGACATGACTTATTTACATAATTTGGTTCTATCACGAAAACCGTTGGGGGTAATTTTGCCCCACAAAAATACGTTTGGTGCAGATGTAAAGTCATAAATTCATAAATTGGCTTCATTATTGTGGACAATGTGGACCAAAAATTGGTTAACTAAAATTCTAAATTGGTTAACTGGTTTGAAAAGCCGCAAAGAAAACCCTCATCGTTATTAAATAAAATTGTGAAATTGCGCACGAGAATTTCTACTACCATGCAGCAATCGTATGTCTAACATAAAAGCACTTTTTTGAGACGGATAACTAACTAATGAAATTCGTGATGATGATAAGCCTGACTCGGGATAAGGCTGCACTGGAGGTGATTTTTTAAAATACCGACAGCAGGCACTATATGCAGCACTCTCTCTAGAACTTAATCATACCAAAACTCTCTCTGTAACCGACAGAACTGCTAGTCCGAGAAAATTGAGAAGTTTGACTCTCACAATCGCCTCCATTTTGTGACGTGGACGTTTTCCTCTTCGTTCTCAGACGTAGACTGGACTGCGGTTTGGAACACGATTCCGGAGAGGACTTGTCATCCTCGGTGTCCCCCTTGTCATCCTTCTTTAGCAACTCTTCCCGTGGAGAGGAGACTGGAGACGGGGATTCCGGATGGACAGATTCTTCCTCCATGTCCACGCTGGAAAACTTTTTTTAAAAAGAAAGCGTTAAGGTTTTAAAGTTTAAATTTTTGTCACATAATGAATTTTGGTACATATAGTTTGCAGGGGTGGGCAAAATACTGTGAAAATACAGTATTTTAAGCTAGGGTTTTCCCAGGGTTTAGATTTCCAGGGGTGTTACACCCACAAAAAGACGAGAATCTACATGGCGAAAACAATAGTCGTAGAAAAATACAGGTTTTATAAAGAAATTAATTGGTATCCTATTTTGCACGGTTTGGGAGGACATTTTTTAAACAACAATTTATTGATAGCTTTCGGATCTTCTTGATCCTTCTTCAGTCAATTGATTGCATAAAATTTTACGAAATGTACAAATACAAATTACTTAAAAAAGAAATAAATAAAGAAATTAACTTTTTATCGGTGTCAAAATACTTTAATTTTTTTTATCGTGAAAACACTGCATTTTGACAGCGATAAAAAGCAAATTTCTTCACAAAACTCCTGTAATTTCCACTGACAATCGTTTTTCCATGCAGATTTTCATATTTTTGTGGGTGTAACACCCCTTGAAATCCAAACCCTGAGAAAAAACGGAGCTCAAAATACTCTATTTTTCCAAAATATTTTGCCCACCCCTGCACCAATTTGATTTATGTCCTTACTTCTCTCGCCCCCTTTCGACTTTTCCTAAACCGGAAAGTTTTTCTACTTTGAAACTTTTGTCTTTGCAAACGATGCGACTTTGGTTCTTCCTCCGTGGTTCCGGTCCCTTCGGAAGGTCCCTCCGTGTGAAGCTCAAAAGTCTCCTCGCTCCGCTCTGTTATGCATCGTGTGAAAAGTTAAAAGTAGGTTTATGAAGTTAAAAGAGTTCACCAAAAGTCATCAACATTTATCACGAACGACACCGATTAAATCAAACTGAATTTTGAAATAATAAAAAAAATACACGTAAATTTGTCTTGCAAACATCCAGATCACATAATCATATCAGTTCCAAAATACTAGTATTACCGTATATAGAAAATTATACAGTAGAAGAACAGCGAGGCTTACGACATTAACTAGGTTTAAAATATCTATGAAATTACAACAGGACGATGTATAAATAAATAAATATTTTTTACTAGACATACTAAATAATGACTACGGCATGTCTACGTAATTGCTGCTGCTGTTGATAAAAATATGTACATATTTAGTGTAAAAAAGGTCGTCGGTATAGTAGTGTTTGGCTTGCTGAAAATACTTATCTATAGGACCCTAGAAGTCAACAGTATGTAGCATGAAAAATAGAGCAACTTCTAGCAAATACTGGCGTCATTATCATGTCATTTTGATATTGGTGTGCAAAACTTTGTGTGTTTAATTTTGTGTGTAGAATAATGAAGTACGGTGTTTCATAGTGAGAATCTGCTCAAGAGAGTTAGAGAGTATGTATGCGTATAAAGTATGTATATATGCGTATAAATATGTACATATGGGTATAAAATATGTACATATGCGCATAAAATATGCATATATGTGCATAAATGAAGTATGTATGTACATACGCGTATAAAGTACACAGGTATGTGTATAAAGTATGCACATGGAGAAAAGGAGAATTATTAGTGACATGAAAAATGTATAGAACAAAGGGTTTCACATATTTTAGCGTCTTTTCTCCAGTGATTATCAACAATACTGAAATTCGTAGAAGAAAGCAAAAACTGTGTATATATGTGTATGTGTAATATGAAGTATGTATTTAAACACGACAGAGCCTCGATCTGACGTTCATTTTAGATTTCTTGGGAGGGAAATAGCAAGAGGAAAACGTTAATAGATAAGATAATAAAAATTGGTGGTAAATAGATAAGGTGTGCAGCAGCAGGGGGGTAAGTAGATAAGTAAAAATATGGATGACAGAACTAAAGGAAGAAATTCATCACAGACGGAAGAAAGAGACAGACAAAAGAGAAGAAAGTAAGTGAATTAGAGACCTTTCGCTTTGAGGATAGAGTTTTCGGGAATAGTAAATGGTGCGTCACTCGTACCCGCAATACTCACGCGTCTCATGTATCGATCCACCATTCGACCTTAACAAGAAAGTTCGAAAAAGTCCATGATTCCATAAAAAAAAGTCAACAAGAAGGCAATATGGCGTTCGTTGCAGTGAGCGTCAAGAGTTAGTGGTGAAAGTGAAAGTGAAGTGAAGCATTACAGAAAAAGGTGTAGTTTAGGTGGTACGTATTTACGTAGGTAGGTGAGAGGTTAATTAGTTCTACGATGTGCTGGACGGATGTACATATATTTACGGTTTTGTACTATGTACTTGCAAAGTTTAAAAGGCTACGAGAAACAAGCAATCAGTGGCCGCGGAAGCGTTGGGACAATGTCCCCATCATCGGTCCATCTATATTATAAACTGGAAATGTTTTAAACACTTTAATTTTAAATGTTATAAACTGGAAATGTTTACTTTCACGGAAGTGAAAGTAAAGAAAGTTAAGTTTTGAATGTAGTGAAAATTCAAAATAAATTCAAAATTAAACAAAAAATAAAAGTCTGATTATACTTATCTTGATGGTTGTTTTATGGTGGTTACTTATCCACTCACAGATAACCACTATCAAATATGAGATAAATATTCACAACATTTAGAAAATTCAAAATATTCAGAATATTAAAACAGAATTTTCTATACTTTCACTTCCGTTGCCGACAGACATTTCCAGCACGCCCGACGGGAGACGGGCTTATACGCTAGTCTTATATAAACCCATCCTACAATGTTAACGTCCCCCCATGTCCCCACACCTTCCGCGGCCACTGTACGGTTAATATCTCCAGGGGTAAAACTATCCATGCAGGCAATTAACGTACATACATGCAAATGAGGTCACAATTTCATTTTTTTTTTGCTACCAACTTTGAACAGGAAAACGCATTCCGAACTAGACAACCTAAATTACCAACTTTTTACCAAGACTTTAATTAATAATTGTTCACATTCACTCACAGGAATTTTACAAAATAAACGGATAATTGCCAGAGAGAGTGAGAGAGAAAGGGAAAGCGAGTTATTAGATTGTAGATGAGCTCTACCTTGCGAGGTAGGTTTGACTCTGACACTAGATTCACGATTAATGGAGGATTTATGGATATTTCCTGATGACCCTTTGGACGAGTCGTCGCCCCCTCCTCCGAATCGGGCGGCCAGACCGGGGAATAATTCGGACAGGGAGGGTCGTGCCCGTCGACCTTGCTCGTTCGCCTCCGGGTTCAAATTCTTTTTACTTATCACTGTCTCTTCTGTGCATATTTTCCAATTTTTTTAAATTACACATAAAATAACGTGGAATGTTTTTTTTTGGAGAATCGTGGAATATTGAATATTTTAGAGTGGTGTGGATATATAAAAAATTTTGAAAAATTGTGGAAAAATGGAAAATCGTACCCTTCCGGTTTTCCAAGTCTTCCTTTAACTGTTTCATTTGATGGGCAAGATCTTGAAGTAAAACTCCTTTGCATTTTCCGAGCGTGACTTCACGTAATTTTTCGCGAATGGTGAATTGAAAATGACGATCTTGATCGTTTGCGGGTGGTTTTGCGAGCTGAAAAAGGGAGAATCTCAAGCATGTCAGAAATTGTATAGCTTTAAAGGATGGTTAATAAGTATGAATTATTTGAATGGTGAATATAATGCGGTAGGAAACCTTCTGGGCAATAAATGGACGAAACATTGGGTAAATTGAGGTTCGAACGGTAATGACGAATTCCAGAAATTCCCAGAGTGGGCCACCCCCTTCGCCCTTGTTTCCTAATTCGTGTATTATCCGGACCGTCCGGGCCCATTCGGTGCCAAGTTCGGTGTCGAAACAGACGCACAGGATTTTCAAACCTGTTTAGACAAGTGTTTCATAACAAAATTCTAATATATTTATCTAACACTACAAAAATAGTCATTATTGGCGGCGGAAGCAGGGGGTCAAGGGGACATTTCCCCCCAGAAATTCAGCAAAATCGTATCGTTCCCAATCCCACAATGCTAATGCCCCCCATTTGTCCCCCCCCCCCCAACTTCCGCCGGGACAATGTGTCATGTTTCTCAAATCCATACCAAGAAATCCAATTTGGAACGTGGACATGCGAACTTTTCGCTCCGTGACGCTTCCAGATCGCGTAGCTCCGGAACCTCCTCCTCCCCCGATCCCAATAATGGACGTGTTGGCTTCCGTTGTACTCTTAATTCTTGGACTTCCAGGACTTATGCAGTTTAGAATGACGTTAAGAATGAAAATTATGTCGGACTTTCGCATCCTTGGGACATCTACACGATAGAAATATGAAGATAATAAAGCTACCCAGCATCATCGCACTTCCATGCAATTTACATATTATTTATTAGCACAAGCTTTTCATACCTTTACGACCAGTACCAACGCGCTATAAATATACAGCAAACATTAAACATAGAAATTACATAATGTGTTCCAAACAGAGGCCGCGGAAGCCGTGGGGACATCTGGGAACATTAACATTGTAGGATGGGGGAGGGAGGGGTTTATACAACATGTGCGGACGATGGGGACATCGAATAACCGTGGGGGAATTTTGCCCCTCTGTTCACATACTTCCGCGGCCACTGGTTCCAAATAAATATAACCGAAAATCAAACTTACGATGCACATTGGTAGTAACAAATGCATAAGTAGGGTTTCCGACTTTTCTACAATTCCTGAAACTGCAAATTGGAATCCACACGATTGCTCCAATGAGTATGGTTCCTATAAAAATATTACATTATGTTCCGTGTATATTCATTTTCCAAATTCATTTTCCAAATCCAAAGATTTTTCAGAACGTACCCCCAAAGCGCGCACTTGAAGGGCCAGGAGACGTACAACGGTCGAACAGAAATGGGCCGGAGGTAATTTTCCTAATAATGCGGCTCCAGCAGAACTAATTTGAAGTTCGCTTGCTTGTCCTTCACCCATCAGCAAACACTGGAAATATGTAAATGAGACCAATAATGCAAGCCAATTGTCAGCATAAACAAGTGATAAGTCTCTAACCTGACATGTCGATATTAAAGACTTCAAATGCTGGTTGTGAACAATGCTAAAGAAATTGAGGGTCAGTAGCAATTAATTAATTAATTAATTAATAACTAAATATGCATGTACACATTGTCGACTTACTATGGGTGACGCCAAAGCATTTGATAAATTCCTGAAAATTTACAAAAAATGCGATCCAATTTTTATTATGAAATTTTATTAAATACAAAAATACAGTAACCAAACCTTTCAGCAATCCAGCAGCCGCTTCCCAATCCGTATGACGCTATTGTATTAGGCAGAAAAAGGAATTGGTATTATAAACGTACGTTTAAGTATATTTACTTATTCTTATTAAGATTCTTCCATTTCTTACTCTGATTGAAGTCTTTTTGCAAATCTTGATAAAGGTTTTATCCAGCCGTCGAAGGAATGCGGATAAGGCTGCTCTTGAACTTTCATGGGTCCACTCCCCATATGGAAACACTTCCACCATGTACTTTTGCAGCCCCCGACACCCCATCGTTGCTGGAATTAAAGTCATGAACAATTATTCAATTTAAGGTTCAGAAATATTTGCATCAGAAATGATAAGATGACTTGATATGTAAAATTATTTCTCACCTGGGTCATACGGACTGACCTTCAGCAAGCTCATGCAAACCTCGGACAATCGCTAAAGGAAAAAATAACCGTATAAAAAATTAGCTTGGGTTCTGTAAACCAATTTTTCAGTGTATGCATAGTACCACGTGACTCTTAATGTCAAGAAGTTCCACGGGCTTGGCTTCGTTGCCACCTTTTTTGGCTAAAAAATAATGTATTTTTGCGATAAACCGAAAAAATAAAATGTGGAGACTGATATATTTTCGAAATGTTTTTCGAATTCTTACCCAACTCTGGAAGTCTTGTCTGAAAAATAGGAATTTTTACTTGATAAGTGAGTGATTATTCAACGATATGCACTCGAGGAACAATTAAGCAGCTTACGGAGCACTTTGAGTAAAAGTCGGAAACAAGACATAACAAAGTATCTCTTGGGCGTCTAAACTCGTCTCGAATAACTTCAGAGTCTTGCATGTCACGATCATACACGTTTTTAGTTCGGGAGTGGTCACTCATGTATTTTGAGTGGGAGTCATCGTCACCAAATTCATATCCCGGGGTTAAAAGGTTTTGGCCACCTTTGCTCGTATAATTTCGTTGGCTGGAACCCCGCAGATCGGTTGGACTGGCCATTTGGGGGCCGGAATAATTTCTAAATACGCACAAAAAATGGTCCAATTAATGCTTTAAAGTATTTCTTACAATGCGATGGTGTGAAGTGCAATACTCGGATTTTGTTGAAATTTTTGAATTATGAAGTTCAAGTCAATACAAGCAAAGTTTCTTGAGGCAGTTTGTATGATGGTCAAAATTTATCAAAATTTTCGAGGTCAAAGTTGATAAAACTGGGCATTTTTATCAAGCAAACTCGCTACCTTCGCTTAGTAAAAATACTCATTTTTCAACTTTGACCTCGAATATTTTGATAAATTCTGCTAAACATCGGACAAACTGCCTCAAGAAACTTTGGTTCTATTGACTTGAACTATATTTATAATTTCAAAAATTCAACAAAATCCGAGTGTTGCACTTGACACCATCCCATTGTTAGTCTGCATATTTAGTATGCCGTTCAAACTTACTTTGCTAATGGTTCGCAGTTGTTGACGAGTGTTTTCATTGCAACTGCGATATGATTTATGATATCGCGTTCCGTCTTCCCTTCGGTCTTGTTGGTTTGAATGTGTGTCAAATACGGGGGAACCACGGCTTCCAAAATGGTCTGAAATATTATAATATTTTCCGAGAATTTGTACATATTTTCCTGGAACAGTAGAATTATCATCCTCTTTAAAAACTTACCAGCATCTGTTGACCCCTCAACGAGTCTGCAGCATATGCCACGACGCATACGCACATTGAAATGCAGTCAAGAACCGTGATTTCATCGGAATCGTCGTGATAACAAAAATCCAGTGGGCGCAGGGGTTGAGGTCCATGAATAAGTTCGGTAATATGGAGCGGATCCGGGGTCGGGGTTTCAAGTGATAACAGCAGTCGAAACAAGCATTTTGATGGGACACGCGTGGGGTCTGAAATATTTACCACGGCAGAAATTATTATAAATTATGCCGGCTTCATCATTAGAGAACAATTTTTTGAAGATTTTTTGCAACTAACAATGCGATGACGCCAGCGGTCTCGCTCCGATTTTGACGAAACTTTGACGACATGTTTCAGGATTTTTCATAATGCTCAGTTTAAACTAAATTATAATTGAGCCCGAATTTGCATTTTTCTCCCTCGCCAGAAAAATTTCACGGTAAAAATGCAAATTCTCGCTCAAAGATTTTATCATAATTTAGTTTATGAAAAATCCTGAAACACGTGTTAAATTCTAATGTTACATAATTATAGTGTGGTTTCGTCAAAATTGAATCGAAACCACTGGCGTCATCGCACTGTAAGTATTCAGGCGTTGGTAAAAGCTAGTAAATAATTGAAATGACACCACCCCATGCACATCAGATTTGGTGGAGGACTTATCGAAACACGTGGTTACCTCCAAACTGTGCTGTATCATCGGTATCCAGTAAAGCAGCCAATGCTCCAAACATTTGAAGGACGAATGGTTTCCGGTGAAGTAAATAGAATTCTTTACAGGCAAACTCTACTGCCCCCGTGACTGGAAGAAGAGAAAGAGATTCGCAGAGTGACTAAAATTTGTAGATTATAGTATGGCGAAGAAACTTTGCTTATAAAATTACCCAGTGCATTGCTTTGATGAGTCGAATACAGCAACAAGAGGGGCGGCATCACCAGTAAGTATCCATTGGTAGAAAATATGTTTTTAAACTGCTGGACGCCGTTGATCTACGCAATTCAGAAATTATGATGTAAAAATCGAAGAAATTATACATTATTAAGTAAGGAGCCGTCCATAAATTACGTAACGCGAGAGGGGGGAGGGGGATCTAAGGCTCCAGTGATACGTTAAGGGGGGGGGTTAGAAAATCGCGATTTTTGCGTTACGTAATTTATGGACGGCCCCCTAAGAATGTTGCGTTTACCATTGCGCTTATGATGTATCGGATGATCGAATGGTCTTCAGAATGCACCATGAGAGAGCCTTCCGGGTAAAATATTCGTACATTCTTAAGAATTCTCATTTCATAATTAAATTACATAACAAAAGTTGAGCAACTTGCCACTTAAAACATTGATGAAGAGATGAATGTCTCCTGAATACGCGAAATTTCCCGACATTGCTTCGAACATGCGGGTGATAAGCTTCGCCCACATGAATTTGTGTAGGACTAAGGAAAGAGAGTTGTAGAGTGAGGAGAGATTGATGAGGGGAATTATTAACGTGACCTTTTTTGAAATGCAGTATGATCATATTCAGAAATCTTAGCTTGTCTAAAAAATTGTTTGATTTTTGGAATTAGTTATTTCTGTAGAGGACATTTTTTAGGACACCCGGACTAAAAAAATTGAACATTTTTCATGAAGTTGAAAACCTAACGATTTGGTCCAAGTCAGGGTCACAACATGGATGTAAAGGGGTCGCAATCGCAATCTGCATATAAATGTTTGTGAGATTGTCCAATCGTAAAAAATGTTCCCATAATCCGGCATGCAAAATTTCAACTTTTTCAACCAATTCCAAAAAGCATGTCGCCAAATATGATCATTTTCTGCGGATCTGAGTGACACCCCTCATCAATCTCATTCTGCATTAATCCTACCATCAAGTCCGAGTAGTTCCTGTATGTAATTACATAATAAGTCTTTAATACTTAATCATAAAGATTAATTTAATATGTTTGTATTTCAAGGATAATAATAACGTTAGCTCACCCTTCCCATCATCCCTCCCTTCCAAATGTCCATATCAGATTCTAACGGGAGAAAGATGTTAATTAATTAGCAAATTGTGAGAACTGGGTATAGCATTTTAAGCATTTATTTACCTAACGCTTTTCTCGGAAAGGCTGGCAATTTCATGAGTTCCTCGTGGAGAAAAACGACACGTTGCATCACTTGATCAACATTCTATACATTTGTTCATTAAAGAATATCAGTGAACAATGGAAACTTAAGAAATTTTGCGTCATGCAAAAAAATATGTCGACGAATTTGCTTAAATACCTTCAATATCGCCCAAGTTAATGTCACTACGCAAAAATAATATTGATCAGGCTTATCCACTATTACATATTTGCAATAAATTAAATTTTACCTTTGCCAATTTCGAGAAACTTGAGTATAAAAGATTGTCTTTGTAACGCATTGTACGCGTGATCTGCATAGAGTTACAAATAATATTGTAAAATGGCATTGATTTTAAGGTAAAAATTGATTGGAACATATGTATTTACCTGGAGCCATATGTACGAGACTCAATTGAGGATGTTGAGCCCGAGAGAAGAAGTAGAAATCTCGTACGTAGGAATTCGGATTATGAATTTGGTCTACAAAAAAAACTCTCAAGTTAATAAAATTTGAAATTTGACGAAATTGAACCAAATTTTCACTCACGAGTTTTAAAGTCCACCAAAAAGTATTCCTTGTGATGTTCTTCATCAATACTGAAGAAGAAACAATGTAAAAAAAATAGCATCAGATACCACAATTTAAAGCCAACAATTAAAATATTTTACCTAAAAAAGTCATACGACTCCCTTAATATTTGGACGAATTGTGTATCTTCCTGAATTGGAAACTGGGTAGGAATTCCTCCGGCTTCGGGACCTTTAGAAATTTAGTAACGATAAGTAGTTATCCAACGTATGCAATTTCTTGTTCACTAATTAATTCCTGTTCAGCTCACCCATTGGTCCATGAACCACAATTTTCTTGGCTGCAAATATTTAATTAAAATTATTTAAAATATGAAAAGTTCAAGTTGTTTAAAGAAGGTTACCTGCGGGAATATTCGCAGTTAGCAAAATGAACGCGTCACACTGTTCTTTTCGAAGGATTTGCTTCAAATCTTTAAACATTATTCCTTGCACGCTGTGAACAACCTAAATTAACATTAAAAAATGAGCTTGGTGCAAAAATATTCTGTACATTTTAACCAAAAATGTAAATTTTTATACCATCCACAACACGGATAAAGCAGACCCGATCATTTCAGGACTGAAATGTAATTCATGAAAAAAAAAGTTAAGATGAATTGCACTTTTAAAGATGCCATGCAAAAAAATGAAAAAATTTTGCTATGTGGTACCTGGCGTCTTGTGGAGATCGTGTGTGATACCTAATAAATAATTTAATGTATGGATATTGAGACCACTTATCTTTATACACTTATCATTCTAAATCCACGATTCTTACATGATAAATCCGATAATGTGATTATACAATGCAAACGCTGCTTGTTGCGGAAGTCTTGGCACAAAGAGAATTATGTGGCGTAGAACCTGCATGAAAATGAAAGTATATTTACATATTTCTGTTCAATTTGAGCACAAATTGCCGTAAACATGCATGGATTTTACAGTAGCCACATAGTGGAATTATTTGTGCGTGTCATCTCATTTGCATATTTTGACGCATTCGTCAGTGACCCAGAGTCTTACTCACTATCAGTTAAAATTAAAGTAGTAAATGTAATTAAATATTTGTGGAAAATCATATTTCTCGGTTGCATTTTTGTCGGTTACATATTTGTCTGTGGCATATTTGCCGGGTTGCATTATATGTCGTTACATAAATGTCGGTTGCATATTTGTTTCTGCAAATTTGTCGCCTCACGGTTTACTCAACATGGAAAGTCCGTATCGCCGAAATGGGCATAGTGAGATTTATGCAAATGAGGTGACAAGCCTAACTAAGAGCACGGAATGTACCTTGAACATTAATTCATGCCTTCCACGAGTCAGTTTTTCAAACACGAATCGCAAAAAGAGTGAGGAATCTTCCACCAAGCAATCCCAAAGAGTGGCATAAGCAACCTCGTAGACCGCGTTGCCATCCAGGGTCACTGCAGGATCGTCGAGCAGTTGTGCAATATGGATGGCCGCAGATCCCAGGGAGGAAGGAAACATGGTGGGAGACTTTAGGTGGGACGCTTTCGAGGAGGAAGACGCAGGCAATGTGACCCCGTCAGTTCCAGCTGCAGTAGCACCGGAAGAAAGATTCGGAGGAATGGAGCTTGTCGCCCCCAGCGTGGCTTTCTCCCCCTGAAAAAAAAAATGTGATTTAAATCAAAGTACGAAACAATTAACTCAACAAATTATCAAAATCGCCTAAATCAACAGATTTTTAATCATTTCTCAGCATTAAAAATTGACAACGACGTGCTCGACAAACTCATCGTTCAGAATTTTAACATAAATTCCCAGAGCCGAGAAATGATTAAAATGTGATGATTTTGGAGCTTGTCGGGGTCATTAATGCAGCATTGCGTACCTGTCCCAATACTTGTCCCTCTTCCTCCTCGTCTTCACCGACGACATGGTGCAAGCCTGGAATATGAAAAGTTGTCATAATTTAATTACGACAAAATTAGGACAAACTTTGGGAATCGATTTATGAGCCTGCTGAACTTACTTGGTTCATACGAAGCTTCTTTTGTAATTGCGACGGTTGTGATGAGAAACTGTTCTCGTTCAGTACGCTTTTTGTCCTCTTCCGTTTTTAGGGCTAACCTAACCAATTCGGCTTGCTGAGTTTTCCTGGTTTTTGTTGCGGTTACCAAGTATCGCTGTTTGAGGGAAAGTTATAAAACATATATAGAACAAATTGAACAATTTTAGCGTAGAAATTTTGAAATCCCATTTACCCGAGATACTTGTTGGTCAGTGAGGGTCACTTCCTCGACTTTAGCTCGTATTTCAGGCATCCATGCTGCAAGAAAATTCATACATACACAAATTAGTACCTTGGAAAAATAAAATTCTATTCACACAAATGAGATTAAGCTTACGTGGATCAACGACAGCAATGGATTCCACTCCGATTCTGGGTGAAGGTAAAGTGAATTCTATTCCAGGAGGAGGTGCTTTGAAAGTACTGTTTTCCTCCATTCTTGGCTAATAAAAGTAAAAAGATATCACTCCATTATTTAAATGTTTAAAGTTTCCTGGAATTTTTCGATTTCTTACCCAAACATGGTGTCTGCATTTCTGAAAAATAGAAATATAAATGTAAAATTGAATTAATTAGTAGGGAGCCATCTTGATGATTGTGTTAAAAAAAACATACCCATAGCATGTGAAATTTTAGCAAAGCACTAATTCTCGTGTTGGGATTTGCATGTTCAAAATCTCCTTCTAAAAGGAGCCGAACTTGTTCTGGAACCTTGACCCCGGCGAGAATAAAGAGTGCAGATGCGCACGTGCTAACCTGAAAAATCAGACAAAAATCAGTAAATATTTTGTTTTATGATATGAGCTTATGGATCTAACGTCTGAGCTTTAAAAGAATATGCTAATTTTAAACTTAATTTGCATGAAAAAATAGCCACTTCTTTTAATGCTCAAATCATAGCATTTACATATTTCCTAACCTGAACTTCAGGCTCTAAAATCAGTTCCCACGTGATCGGAAGGATGGAAAGGAACTGCTCTTCATTCAGCATTGATCCCGCTTTGATTAAAATGGAGAATAGCGAATGGAAGCCGCCTTGTACTTGTTGTTTAACATATTTCAAAATGCTGGGATCATCAACTTTCTCCTTCGCCCCATCCTTTCCCTCGTCTTGATGGTTTAAACCCCACGAGTTGGCATTTGGAAATCCAAACTCTTCTCCGTAAACTTTTCGTACGGCTTTCAAAAGTCGGGATACTCCTCTCATCAGACGGCGGGGGCAGTGCGGGTGACAAAAACCTTGGTGTGTGCACCTGCAGGAGATATAGACAGTTAAGTCAACCGTAATTATTAAGGGGTGAAAGCACTTTATAAGATCGTTATGTCCGTCCGTTGATCCGAAAAAGCGTTAACGAAAAGTCATAGAAATTTTGAACGTAAATTTTTAACGCCAAGGGACAGGGCGAGTTCGGAGATGGGCACTGTAGGTCACACCCTTCAAGGGCAGAAAAGGTCATCAAATGTTAAATATGTCAATTTGAAGTTCAAATTTTGAACTGAAATTTAACCCGAAATTCAATAGGGATCTCCATTTTGACCTTAAAGGTCACAAAAGGTCACACAAAATTCACCAAACTTTAAATTTGATACATATATCACAAATGTCGAAAACACGTCAGCCGTGTCAATTTTAACAGGTTTTCGACCGGAAAGAAACAATATGATACTCATTTTGACCTACACTGCTTTCACCCCTTAGCTACACGCGTTGTAACGGTTTATTTAAACGTAAATTGACCAATTACCTAAAGTTCAGGCTGGACAAAAACTCGATAATCGTGCTTATCCATGGCATAGAGAGGCATTCCTCATCCTGCGTCACAGCTGTGCCACCACCGGCTTGAGCGTCCTCATTACTCATGACCCCAGGGGATTCGTCCCCACTATGTTCTGAAGTTTCATCCGATACGGAGCTCACCTTTCGTCGAGCACTTGTCATCGAATCAGATCTTTTCATGGCTAAAAATTGAAAAAATACGCAGATTAACAACCTCTCTAGGTTAATATTAAACTTTAATTAGTTTAATTTAATTACAGTCAGAATCTCCATCCTTCGCTTTCTTATTCAATTTAATACTTCTTCTTCTGAATGACGATCCTCCCGTCGCCGTTGTCGTGCTTGGCGCTCCTCTCCGCAATAATAAGGGTCTTACCTTCCGAGCGTCGGAGGCAGACATCGCTTTTTGCGAAGGTTCCGGTAATTCCTGGTACGATAAGTAGCGAATATTTTTAGCAGGTAAAATATTCCACGTGTTTTAAGCCTAGTACTCAAGACGGATTTTTCACGTTAATTTTACGGTTGTATTAAATTACTCCTCTGACTTGGAATGTAATTCCTGTGAATTACTTCACTGGAATTATCTGAATTTCGCTAAAAAGTGTACCAAAATTGGAGAATTTCTTCAAATCGAGTGCAAAATGCTACTTAAATTTCGTTTCCTGTTTTTGCTAGGGAAGGTCCATAAATTATGTCACGCGAGAAAGGGGCTTCAATAATATCGTCGCTATGTGACACATGTTAAAGGAGGGGGGGGGGGGTCTAGAAATTCGCGATTTTTGGGATAATTTATGAATGGCCTCCTAAACTTTTTCACTTAAAAAATCTGTCCTGAGTACTAGGCTTTAAAGGATCAAACTATTTCTATTGATTACCGGGTGTGCACCATGGCTTTTTTCCCCACTTTCCGTGGAGGGTTCGTCATTGAGGACGAAGCTGATTTTTCTTTCCCCACTCCCCGCCGGAGGGGGAGGTTGATCTGAAATGGACTGGAGCGAGTGGGACCCTTGGGTCTGTGCCTGGCCTAATCCTAGGAGTTTTTTCCTAACTTAACTGTAAAATTAGAAAATACAATTCTGGAAACCGTATTACAGTACCATATGACCAACGACGATTTGCATTGCCCGAAACCACGACGGGTTTCGGGGCGACTTCTTCCTCCTTCTTGACGGGTGGTGGGGGTGGTTTGTGGACAACGCTGGCTTTCGGGAGCGTCTGTAAAGTGAGAGGAATTTCATTTAACTCTGTTTACACAAAGACTTTGGTACTATCGGTGGCCGCGGAAGGTGTGGGGACATCTGGGGACATTAACATTGTAGGATGGGGGAGGGAGGGGTCTAGATAAGATGGGCAGATGATGCGGACATCGAACAATCGTGGGGGCATTGTCCCTCTGCGCACACGCTTCCGCGGCCACTGTTCTTTTGGCATATCATTGCCATGGAGCATGTACAATAGTGGCCGCGGAAGCCGTGGGGACATCTGTACCATTAAAATTATGGGATATGGGAGGGAGGGGTTTATATAACATTGGAAGATGATGCGGACATCGAACAACCGTGGGGACATTGTCCCTCTGTCCCCATACTTCCGCTGCCACTGGGTACTATCAAAGTTATGCATGCGTATGTGTACCTGGTATGTTTCTCGTATGAATGCCGTTATCTCATAGAGCAGCATGCACGAGAGGACTTGAAGGGCCAAGGGACACTCGGCCCCGTCCATGATGCTGGCTGTAATTGAAAATCAGATAATAAAATTTCAGAAATTTTTAATAAAATTTATAGCGCATTTTCTTACCATCATCCAAAAAATCTTCCTCTTCATCATTTTGAGCCAATTCCTTTTGCTTGGCTTCATCAGAAAGATCCAGTTCCATGAGTTTTTGCCTGTTCTTTTTATTGTATTCTTCCAGCCGGGCATTAATAGCCTAAAAGTGCAGAGTTGTAAATGGATTTGATCCGGTGCTTTTTTACCAAATATTTATATATGCAAATACCTCTCCCCACTGATGAAACATTTTTCCAGACATTCTCTGCAAAGCGTAAGACTTTGACTTTGACGCGACCGGTTTTGCAGGGAGGCCTGCGCATGAGGGTCGAAAAATTGGAAATTTCATCCAGAGCGGCCAATGCCCACGGTTACATGCATGGACCAAATAGCTACATTCCAATAACATGCATGACCTCGCGACAACAACGGTTTTAGGCTAAATAGCAAAAAAGATTGTTAATATTCTGAATAAAATGTACATAAATATGCATATATGACACCGACCAAATCCAATAGCGCAGCCATCAGTCCGGCGTCTGGGAGTGATCCTGGATGAGTAATTTCCAATAAAAATCCGAAACGTCGGATGCCTAATAAAGGAAAATTGAGTATAGAATTTTATGTGTTTTTTAGCGTTAAATGGCTAAAAATGGTCACAAAAACTGCATATATAGACGAACCAATACCTGCTTTGACGACATCTTTGCTGACTAGACGCCTTTCTTTAAGGACAACAAACTCACTAGTTTCTCCAATCACCTGTGTGAATATCAAATGAATTGATTCGTATTCACCACTTTCTTCATAAAATATACTCAAAATTTCAGAAGAATTACATTTTCACTTGTCACATTTTCCAATGAACCCTTGCGACTCCCTAAAAATAAAATTTAGCTTAATAAATATGAAATCATTTAGTGTTAATGTAGGCCTTGATGACTCATCACCAAAATCGTCAAAATCAACCCGTTTTTAATTATTTCTCGCCTCTGGGAATTCATTTTAAAATTCTGGACGATTCAAATTCTCACGTAGTCCGTGAGTTGATTAATGGAATAGCGGTGAATTTTTAAGCCAATTTAGATGAGTTCCAATTTTTCTGAAGGCTTCTTAAAATTGAGATTTCCTCCTTCAAAAAATGTCAAAATCTGGAGTGTATATTTCTAAAAAAAAATGGCTACCCCTAGCTCTACAAATTTGTCGTCCAGAATTTTAAAATAGGTTCCCGGAGCTGACAAATAATTACAAGTTGAAGATTTTAGGGATGAGTCATTAAGTCCTAGGTTAAGTTATTACGTCATAAAATTAAACTCACCCCCAGCCAAGCTGTCCTCATTGGTAGAATCTCGCTTAATTTTCATCCTCCTTAGCCGTTCTTCCACTCTTCGCTTCGCTTTCTGGACAATGGTGGCTTGACGCATGGTCCTTTTTGGTTCGGAAGCGCCCGTTCCACTGCTAACGTTAGAATCCTCCCCGTCCAAGTCTAACGATCTTTCTTGGGTGGAACCCCTCATCAACCAGGACACCAAACGGGATTCCTTTTTGGATGGAGCCCCTCTTTTGGCGACCAAATCAATCTCACTCGATTTGGGAGTGAGCGTGGCATGTTTTCGGGATAACGTGCCACTTGGACTTTCTCCAGTGTTGTCAGTGTCGCCCATGCTCTGTTAAAATGATTTAGAATGAATTAAAAATGTCATTTTTTTGATGGGATTTATAATTCATAACGTACTGCACAAGTTGATGATGAACTCTTCTTTTTGAAAAAGCCTTTCTTGTTGCTAAAAGAAAAAAAGTTAGATTAATTGAATACGTTGGTTTCATTTTCACAAATATTTATTATCTGGCTCAACGTTATCAAGGCTTATCGCAGAAGCTTATCGTAGACTTGTGAGTGGAGCTTGAGAAAAATACGCCATTTTCACTAAATACGAAGTGAACGGGTATGAGCAATTGCAGGATTACTTTAATCAGATTAAATAATCCATTGAGTGTAATCCCATAAGAAATTGAACATTTTAAATAATCTAATCCTTTCACTGACAGTGAAACGATGCTCCATTTTCTACGCTTGATTTTCACCCATCCGGTTGAAACAAATATTTAAAACGGATACAAAAGGCGATTAGACATGGTTTTCACGACTTTGCGCTTGAATATCTCTGGTGCACACTCGAATTTTGAGTTTATTTTGATAGACAAGCAAGATAATACTCTCAAAAACATATCTCTAAATTTTTAAGGCGATAGCTTCACAAATGTCCCCTCCAGAGCCCCCAGAGTTGGAAGGTGTCAAAAACCCACTTTCCAAACTGTAATTATTCATGTGGCATGATAACCAAAGAGGTCAGAGGTGAAAAATTATTATTATTATAACCCTAGATAATGATTATATCTAATAATGAAAGAATCCGTAATGAATAAAATAATGTGGGCCCTCCAGCATCGCTGATACTTTTCCATGAAAAGTGATAAATCGGACCGTGCACCGGGAAATTGACCTCCTGACCTTAAAAACGGACCGACTGGGTGAAATGAAGATTGAGGGCAAAGCTCTAAGTGTCCTAAGTAATATTAACTTCAACAGTGAAGATTTTGGGTAAACAGTTTTGGAGAAGGACCCGAGCTAATCAGCTGACGTGGAATCCTAAAAAACTCTTGGACTTATTTAGAAAATTAATAGTCAAATTTTGTTGAAAACAAATTTTAATAACTTTTTTGTGTTCCCTGCTGCAGAACTATTTTACCTACAAGGTACAAGTGACAAAATAATAAAATTACTGCGTTTTGATTAGTTAAAAAATTTTAAAGTTCCGCTTCAATTTCGAGGAGAACTTTTGTAAAAATTTTATATGGTTTGATGGAAACTCATTTCCTGGGGTGTAACCACTTATCAAAATTTTATCAAAAGTACTTACAGTGCAATATACTATATGTACCTTGGATATAAACAACATTTGGGATTTTTAGTGTCAAAGTCCTAAAATGTGGGGGCCTTAAAAGTCGAGGAGTTGCGTTCGTGAGAGCATTCCATAGGACAAGTATGAAGTTAAACTACAAAATGGACTTAAAAGATAAGCATGAGACAAAAGTGGTTTTATATAGCGAAAAGCATGCTGAATCCATTGATAATAGTCGCAAAGACGATTTCTGCACTAGGGCCTCAGAAAAAATCTTTTGTTCGACGCCATTTTATAAGAACACTGGTTTGGAAAACTAAAAAAGGACACCTCTCCAAATTTGACCTTGCCTCATGCCCCAGAGTGCATAACACCGGAAGCCAAATATGTTTACCTATAGTTCGAGACATGGGCTTTCACATAAAAAAAGTTAGAAATCTCTCCAACCAAAAACCATCGCATAATTAAATTATGAATTTGTGCAAACCATCTCTAATCGCCTTTTGTAAATATGTTCATTTCATCGTGTATTTACCTAGAACTGCTTTGAGGTCCGGTCGTCTCGTCCATTATGTAATATCCGGGTGAATCTTCGGTGTTTGTCATTCTCCTGTAAATACGATGGATTCGATGAATGTATGTGCGTTAATGCATAAGGATGATTTACGGCATACAAGAAAATGTTATGTAATTACCTGACCACTCGAGTCGTCTGACTTTGTCTCGCATTCTTCTTATTGGGCCGATCAACCTTTAATGAAAGCAACTAATTTCAACCAGTTGTGAATAGGAAATATTTCGCTAATGTTAAAAACTCACGGAGTCCAGCAACGCACTCAATGCAACTCTTCGAAACGTGTTTCCATCATTTTCATACACATAGTTAATAAATTGGCGAATGTCGCAATACAATGCCTGCAAAAAGTAGAAATTATTCTAATTTTATAACGAGCACATTAAAAACGAGTATGTTTCATAATATATGTAGTTGTTTACCATATTTTCTGTGGCACGAAGATGATGAACCGACGCCATTCTGGTGACCAGCCTTTTAAAAATGAATTTGAAAATTTGGCACTCCACTTTCTGCTGATTGTTTTCCATTCCATTGTTGTAACCTGTAATGTACATATGTAGTGATGAATTGATAGTGTAATGTCATCAGGTAACTCAGCGTTAAGTTTATCGAACTTTGATCCTGATATCTCTTACGGTATCACTTTTTACCAGGCCCAAAAATGCATAATTTTGATAATTTATTTCATGAAAAGTTGATTGAGCAACAATTAAAGGTTTTTGTCAGTAAAGAAAGAACCAATTCTTCATCATGTTTAAAAAAAAGTCTGAACTATAGCTCGGTAATTTTGGAGTTGCGCCCAAAATCTCGTGGGGTTTTCATGAAATTGGATAAAGACTTAAAAAAACATACAGGTGAAAGTTTCAAAAAACGGTTTGTAGTATATTCTTACCGGTATAGAAATCTCTAATTTTTGGATCTGCAAAAAATGTGCTTAATGAGATGAGACAGTATACGAGGACAACTTAATGAATAATTTTTACTTGGCATAGCCATCGGAGAAAGTAGGCTGGTCGAATCCATACAGAAACCACACAGCGCATGGAAGAACTCCATCACGGTGGTCAAATTTTGTTGGATGACAAAGTTTTGGAAGAATTTTGAAAAGAGAACGTTAAACTTTTGACACAATCGTAAAAGTAGGTTTTGAGCTTGCGATCGCACCGCGTCGGATTGGGTGCACCGTTGAGAATCTGCACAACCTTGCGCACATCCCATGGCGCTTATCACGCTGGAATTATTTGCAGAATAAATAATAATTATGTTGGGTCATTTTGCATAACTTACATATTTTGCATAACACCCATATTGCATAAAGGGAATTTGTCTAATTTCAAATTATACAAAACGACAATTTAGCATAATGGTATATTTGCAGTTTTCATTTATTTCGCACATTTGGTACAAAAGTTTTGCCATATCGGTAGCAAAATTTTACAGGCTAGCATAATTTTAATAAACCGTTACAACGAATGTAACCAAGGGGTGAAAGAACTGTTTCATACGTTAAAATGAATTTCCTGCTAAATTGACATATATATGCCCTATGACCTTTAGATGACCTCTGAGGTCAAAATGAAGGTCACCATTGAATTCGACGTTGAAAATAGTTAAAAATGACGTGTCACATGCCAAAACAACAAGTGACGCTTTTTCGTCACTTTTCGTCACTGTGACGACGTCATCGTCACAGGTGATGTCCACGTACAAAATGACATGAATTTTCGAATTCCTCATTGAAAAATAGTTAAAAATGATATGTCACATGCCAAAACAACAAATGACACTTTTTCGTCACTTTTCGTCACTGTGACGACGTCATCGTCACAGGTGACGTCCAAGTGCAAAATGACATGAATTTTCGAATTCCTCGTTGAAAAACGGTTAAAATCGATGTGTCACATGTCAAAACTGACACGTGACACTTTTTCGTCACTTTTCGTCACTGTGACGACGTCATCGTCACAGGTGACGATGTCACAGTATCCATCTTCGAACTCGTCCTATCCATTGACGTTAGGAGTTTATGTTCAAAATTTCAAGTGTCTATGTCTTTTGGTTCAAAAGTTATCAAAGCTACGGACAGACGGACAGACAGACAGACGGACATAACGATCTTATAAAGGGCTTTCACCCCTTAATAACAAGCGGTACCAAGGTTAATACCGATAAATCAATCACTGCAAGACTACACCAAATTTCGAAAAGTTTAAAATTATGCAATATCCAATTATGTAAAAAGTTCTTTTCGGTGGAAAGGTATTTAGTCAATAAAGATTATGCAATATGACCCTTATGCAAAAGACCTTTATGCAAATCCACCTAGCATAGGTCATTTTATGAATAAATTCTGCATTTTTCTTACCGAGTCACAGTTTCTAGAACACTCATGATTTCCTTGTCCTTCTCAATGTCCAGGTACAAATGGTCGATCAGATTCAGAACGACTTGACACACTCTGACTGAGCGATGAATCGTTTCTCTGGCACAGATTAAGTGCACGGCCTAAAGAAACATGGATGCATACAGTATTTAATTATATTATAAATACGTAAATATTATATTATAATTTCTCTTTCATTACTTGGAAAACCACTTTGACATTGATTGTCCCATCGCTTCGAATGTATTGTGCCGTGCCGGGAGCTTCTGTTGATTCGCATACGGTGTACTGGATATTCGTATCGCTGTGTGACCTATTTAATTAATGTGCAAATATCCAATTTGAAATAAAGGCAATTATCTCGTTCACCTTGAACATTATTAAATACGGATTAGAAACTTGCAGACGTACGAAATAAATACATAAACGAATGATTAATAATCATTGATTATGATTGATTTGCGGATCTTTGCCACCCATTATTTGCTACCCCTGAACTGCTACCCATTATCTGCTACCCGTGATTATCCGCCACCCATGAATTGCTATCCATTATTTGCTACCTGTAATTATTTGCTACCCGTGATCATTTCCTACCCCCACCCGCAAGCATTTTGGTCTTTGTTCTTGTATCTACAAATATGTGTGTGCATATTATCTTTATAAAAATACATAAATTAATGCAAATTATTGCAAATTGGACCAAAACGGAGTTTCGACTATGTATACTATCTGCCATAAGGAGTTACCCAATACCGATTTTTAGAAATTGTCTTAAAAATATGAACTTCGGTATGAACTTGCCAGGAGGACCCAGAGGGGGTTTGAAATTGTATAAAAAAGCTGAAATTTTGCAATGGATTGTTGGAACGTTTTTGACGATTGTGAATAGTCGTTGGTACGGATCATTTGGCAAAAATTTTGAAGCGGACTCTGTCCCTGACTCGAGCTATATAAACACTGCACACAGTAGGTTTTAGAAAGATAATAATTAATCAAAGCATAAAATATTTTAACAAACAATCAACCTGTAAAAATTGAGGTTAAAGCCAGAACCTTTGCCTGGTGCACAAAGACTAAGCATAGTTGTGTCGTAAATACTCAATACCAAGAAGAGAATATTAAAAAGAAAATGCAGAGTATTAGTCACAATTTCATAAGACCTTAATTTTGTCGGCTAAAAAATATCACTGGTAGTGAGGATAGACCAAAATACTTGCGGGTGGGGGTAGGAAATGATCACGGGTAGCAAATAATCACGGGTAGCAGATAATGGGTAGCAGTTCAGGGGTAGCAAATAATGGGTGGCAATCTTCCGCACACCTTATGATTTCAAAGACCAGTTACTTTCACTTTTTTTACAATAAATACAAATTACTGGTGATGACCACCCTCAAAGTTTCCAAACTACATACATTTAACTTAATTACTAATTGCGTTCTAGTCACCAATTAAGAAATTCGAGAAAATCAACAAAGAAAAAATTTGTGTTGCTGTTAATACGCAGTTTATCAAATCTGCGATGAATAATTTGTCTACGAATTGGGATTGAATTTTAGACAAATGGATTTTGCAGAGGATTGCTCATGTCCAAATGGTAGATAAAGACGTAGTTTTGTTTTAAGCTGACCTAATAAGATGCCTCCCACTCCCACGCCGACTACCCAGCGCGAATTGGTGGATGAAGGAGTTCAATTGGCTCTCCAACGAGCTGGCACGTCTCCTAAAAATGAAATTCCTACTTTAAAATTATGCCCCTTAAATGAAAATCGTTATTCTCACCGATACATTCTGTCAGGGGACGGGGTGGGCGCGGGGGTGTGTTCTGTCACCGTGATGATGGGATTTGGCACTGGGATTTTGTCAGTCTTCAATGGATACGGCTGAAGTCGGGTCATGCCGCAATACCTGCAAAATTTACGTAAAGACGGTATAAGTAAAAAAAATAGTATTGTAAATTTTGAACGAAGCCAGAGCATCTCAAAATTCTCTACGTTAGTTGTTGCATTCTATTTCTACACAATGTAGCTTGAATTGTACACCAAGGATTCAATTCATGTTAGTAAAATTAACTAACTAATAAACCTTTAACACAAGAGGATGATGCATACAAAACTACAGAATTGACTAAAAGTCACGCATCATTTTATAAATAACTACAAAACTTTAGTCGCAATTTTCACTGAAAATTTGTCATCACTTTCAAAAAGTTAACAATTAACGAAAAACTATGCAAGCAGTTGGAGATTTAGAAATTCAGACGTTTTTTATATCTCGCTAGCATGTCAAGTGTAAAATTTAGGTGAAAGTTGGCTGGTAAATTATGTAGCACGCACATTTTCTAGTTGAAATTTCTGAAGAAACAACATGAACAAAGCCATCCACAATATAAATCATATTCAGTGACGGCGGAAGGTGGGGGGGGGTATGTGGGGACAATATGCTTATTAACATGGAAGATGCGACTTTGCTGAAATTCTGGGGGAGGGGCAATGTCCTCCTGTCCCCCTTCTTCCGCCGCCAATGACCATATTAACTCGATTATCCTCAAGAAGGTTGCATGTACTTATATGTAAGTTAAGTTAGCAAGGCATAATTAATTATTGTATGTGTTAGCACTCGGGAGAAAGTTGTTGTTAGTGAGTTATTAGAGAGAGATTGCGTATAAATTGCTGTTGCTAAAACTGGTCTATGATCAGTATGGCGTTGGCAGAGCTGGGGGCTGATGTACTTACCCTGTCGGTGCTGCCAACTCAATCGAGTGGAGAGAACTGTATCAAATCAGACAACTCTCACTCACTTATGAACACAGCAATTTGAATGGGGACAATTTTTTGGTCGTAAATAAATAGGTCATCAAAGTGTGGTGGATAAGAATTAGTTTAAATATGTGCAGAAGAATAGTGACATTTGCATTTTGAAAATAGATTATGCACACCTCCAGAAATGGTAGTTTTTTTATGATGTGATTAATTAATATGGAAAAATGTAATTTTCAAAATGCACACCCGTTGAGTTATTGATTAGAGATAAATATTGATGTATTTTGGCATACCTAAGACTTGGCATACTTTTTCCCTTGAATAAGTTTGACTGTTCGCCAAAATATTTATCGTCCAGGTTGTCCTTGACATTACTTTCGTCTTCGTCCCGATGACCCATGGCGGATTTGGGTCGGACGAAGGGGTCCATTTCATTGTCGAGATCCTACGGATGAGGCATATATTAATTATATGCCGACAGTAACAAAGGAGGTTTCCCAGCGGATGCTCTCTGATTTTGACGAAATTAGTGCCAATCGATAACAAATGTAATTAATAAGATATTTAAAAAGGACGATCTGCCAATGGGCACGTTTGGCAGAGATATTTGCATCCGAAGAGGAGAAAACGTGCAGTAAAGTTGACAAATTTTACTTTCCAAATTTACAGCGCGCTTTCTCCTCTTGGGATGCAAATATCACTGCCAAACGTGCCCATTGGGAGATCGTGTTTTTCGCAAATTTCATACTAATTAAATTTGTAATTGATTGACGCTAATTTGCTCAAAATCGGAGAGCATACGCTGGGAGGCCTCCATTATAAGAAATCGTAATTGCTCTCCTTTTTTCTTCCTTCTTACCTCCATTTTCTCCAAATTCTTTTCAGATTTTGATAAACTACATAAAATTTACCAAGTGTCATTACATTATTTAGTAAATTAAACTGCATAAATACGGAAATTTGTGTACATTTTGCTCTCCACAAAAGATTTTAAATCCAACATTGAGATTTTCTTTTTGGACCCTCTTTCACTACCTCTTCTGGAATCGTTTGACCTTCTCTGAGCGACTGGAGAGGAGCATGCAGAATAGGAGAAAAATGGCGACGTCTGACCATGACTTCCGCGTTTTCCTCGTATGCTTCCTTCCGGTTTGAGTTTTGGTTTTGCGGAAGCAGCTGCAATTTGATTGCACAAGGATAAAGTTAGTTGTTTAGTTTTGATGTGATAGAATTATGTTTATGTATGTATGTATTACTGACTTTTTTCGTTTTCTAAACGAGTTGTAGTTACAGCAAGGGCCAGTTCGGCCAAATAAGACTTTTGACATTTTGGCGTGGGTAAGGAATTGCTCCGCTGTCGCGTTGCTACTTCTTCCTCGGCGCAAGCTGCCTTGTGTGCAGCAATTTCTTCAAATCTATTCAACGATGCAAAAATTTGCTGATAAAATATGTACCACAAATAAGTATTTTTTTCTTGTTACCTTTTGAACAAATACATGCATCCCCAGTAAACGCCCTCTTCTTCCTGAAATGAAAAATCATAGATCATGGAACTCATGTAACGCAGATTATAAAACTAGGACTCGATGATTTATCGCCAAATCGTTAAATCAGTACATTCTTAATCATTTCTCGGCTCTGGGAATTGATTTAAAAATTGTGGACGACGAATTAGTAGAGCAGTTCGTTGCCAATTAAAAAGAACACTCCAGATTTTGAATGTTTTTAAGGAGATCTCAAGCTGAAAAGTTTTTCGGAAAAATTGGAACTTAGATTTTTAAAATAAATTCCTAGAGCGGAGAAATGATTAAAAATGTGGTCATGATTTTGGTGATGAGTCATGGAGTCGCACGATAATAAATAGTCTCATAGAACACAATTAAAAACAAAATACTAAGCATATTTCATAATTGTGTATGTACCCATTGAGGGACGAATAAGCAGCGGAGAACCGCCACATCCATGAAGCTGGCCAAACGCAAGTTTTTCCAAAGTAGAGTCGAATCCTTTCCGCCCCCACCACCTCCGGGGGTTGAACTGTACGCTTGCGGTGTACCGTCACTCTTTCCGATGGAGGGGCGTGGGGATGAGTCCATTCTAGGTCGCCCGGCAGACTCGTTAGATCTGTGGTGATAAAATTATGTAAAGTCTGGCAAAAATAATCATTGTTTTTGTCTCGCAGAATCTTCCAAGCTTCCCTCGACCCAAAAAATATTTTTTCCCAAACGTAAACCCCAGGAGTTTTCGAATGTTCCCAAATATTTCCGGGAATTCGAAAGTTTTCGAGGAATTTTTGAATATTCCCAATGATAGTGAAAGTCCGAATTGGATGTTTTGAACCAAAACTTTCTCCAACAAATGAGCAAAAACCACACATTTTTTTGTAAATCTCATCAAAATGAGTCAAAAAAGTCGAAAAAATAATGCAATTGCCATAAATTTTCAAAAGTTCCTAGAAACTTTCAAATACTTTCCCCCAAAAGACACTTTCACCCTGACTTTCCCCGAACCTAGTTCCAAAATTCCGGAAATTTTTGCCGGAAACTTAAACTATAAAATTTATTAACGCACCCTTTTCTATCTTTTGCCTTATCAGAAGAAGGTGACGGACACGTCTTGGACGATTCGCAACTGGGCTGACGACGCATTGGGACGGACATCTGATCAATTAATATTTTTTTAGCGAAATTCACAAGATTTCGATCTGATTTTACTTTTCTCACTTTAAAGACGGATCCTTCCCTTAACCCGTCCGATTCTGGGATTGACCCCAGTCTGAAGATCATCACGTGTTCTTCATCGTTGCTTGATGATTCTTCAGGAATGGTTTCTGGAAATGGGACCGTTCCACCGGAAGAAGACAAAGCCGTTTGGCCAGAAGGTGACGCCAACTTTTCGAGCTAATTTGCATATTTAAGAATCCAATAAAATTGCAAACTAATATTTATATAGATTTGGACCTAGGTACCTCTTCCTCCAGAACCAAATTAGTACTGAATTCAGTCTTTGCATGTTCCGGGGTTGGTGGTGGGGTCGACATTTTTCCTCCACCGCCAGTCTTTGATGTATTATCTGAATGAATAATTAAGTGGAATAATTAATCATTCAACATTTGCTGTACTTTCGCAAGAGGCGGAAAATACTTTATCAAAATACAGTGTTTTATGAGTTTCGTTCATTCCAGGGTTTGGATTTCCAGGGGTGTTACACCCACAAAAAGACGAAAATCTGAGTGGGGAAGACAGCAGTGGTACGAAAATGCAGGGTTTCTGAAGAAATTTACTTTTTATCGCTGTCAAAATAAAATTGTTTTCACGATTTCTTTAAACTCAAATATTTTGACAGCGATAAAAAGTTAATTTCTTCACAAAACCTGTATTTTCGTATGAATGTTACTTTCTCCATTCAGATTTTCGTATTTTTGTGGGTGTAACAGCATTGGAAATCCAAACCCTGGGAAGAACGGAGCTCAAAATACTGTACATTTCGACAAAGTATTTTGCCAACTTTTATTTTATTAACTTAATTTATTTTTATGAATTTACCTCCAAACACATTTTCGAACGGGTCCTTCTTCTGCTTCCTAATGAAGAAGGGGCTGAGGGGGTTCGTTGGTTTCACGGGACAATTGAAACACACCACTTTGTCCGGAACTTTATGTCCCCACATGGAAGGCCAGACACGAAAGCCATTTTCCAGCCGGAAATTGTTGAAATCTGTCACCCTCAGTTGGGAACAAAGCGGTGCAAAGAGGTAAACAAAGAGCTGCACGGAACAACAATTCAATTAAAGATAAGCAATCGTAAATATGTAGCTAAGCAAAACAGTGGCCGCGGAATCGTGGGGACAGAGGGACAGTTTCCCCACGGGTATTCGATGTCTGCATCATCTCCCCATCTTATACAAGCCCCTCTCTCCCCTTATCCTATAATGTTAACTTCCCCACTTCCCCAGATGTCCCCACGGCTTCCGCAGCCACTGTAAAAAATATCTGACTTGCCGTAATGGCGGTGATTGGGAAAAGATAATGGAATGAATTTTGGGGTCTGAGACCCTTTTCGAAATCAGCGTCTGCACATTCTTCCGCCGAATCTAAAAGTATCCAGTGCAGCGTGTAGAGCAATTTTGTCTCCGCTGCGCCCAAACCGCCCTGAATTCCGCTTTGTTTCCTTCATTTAATTACGTAAAATTACATATGCAAAAATTTAGCAAATTGTTATGCTACACATAAATCCGACTAACCGATTCATCAGAAGTTGAGCCGTGCAATGCATCACGTGAGGAAATGCGGTTTGAATCACTCTCCATCTCGGAATCGATTTAAGAGCCTGTGATAACGCGAAAATAAAGGTCTCACTTTTTAAAATTGACTAATTAAACTCAATCCGTAGGTGATTCTAATTGTTGACTGGAGATATATGTATCATAGCACGATTTACATATTTAAATATGCATAATATATGTAATTGACTGGGATTGATAAGATCAATTTGATATGCGTTGAGTACACTGACAATGGAGGCGCAAACCATGTTCAGCCCAGATAATTTTTTGCCCTTATTAGTTTAAAAGAGCAAGTCTTTACAAACAACATTTGGTTCGGCACTTGGGCAGATGCGCAAATTTCAGCACGTTATGGGCGCCGCAAGTTTCGCAAAAACGCACGATTTTTCGGGCAATGCCCAGCGCGAGCTCAACTTCGTGCGGTTTTGCAAACTTGCGGCGCCCATAACATGCTGAAATTTGCGCATCTGCCCAAGTGCCGAACCAAATGTTGTTTGTAAAGACTTGCTCTTTCAAACTAATAAGGTCAAAAAATTATCTGGGCTGAACATGGTTTGCGCCTCCATTGTGAGTCAACTTTTCTCGAGATAAGCTTTACACCTTGCATGATTTCATACGTACGTGTAATGAAACACGAAATTATCAAGAATATTTAACCTACCTGCGATAACGATGGTGAAAGTCCGAATTGGATGTTTTGGACCAAAACTTTCTCCAACGACTGGACAAAAACCACACATTTTTTTGTAAACCTCACAATGATTCAAGATTTTTTAAGAAATAATGCAATTTATGTAAATACATGTACCGTGATCATAACTTATTCACAGTATATGTCCTACCCTACTTTCTCCACTATAACTAAGCTAAATACAAGTATCGATCGAGATAAATGTGTAAATATATTAGGAGAAATTAGGGATTAATACAATTATTTGTTTAATGCATGCAAACTTGAAAATTATGTTTTTGAGTACAAATATTTCATTAAATTTACCTTTGTAGCTTCTCTTATTTCCTACATTTTTTTCCAGGTGAAAGAGTGACAGCACAGAAAAGAATAGTAGTTTTTGTTAGTGGTCAGTATTTTGGGAATATGTATTATTCAGAAATTTCGAAATTTCAATAAGTTGGATGATCACAAACTACTGAAATTTATTTACTAAATTACACACGAGATTTTTTTATGCAAATCGTGTAATATTAAGGGAGAAAGTTGAATATATATTCAATTTTTTTATCAGTTTGTGAGCATCCCTGATTATTGAAATTTATTATAAAATATGCTAATTATCTAGTCAATAATTACATCACAATAGAAAAATCTATACAGTTCATTCACTAACAAGGAGTTCGAGCTAAGACATTTCACCAAACTTATACTTTACACCAGACAAGATAAGTAAGTTTCCGGGAAACAATTACATGTAAATATTCCGGGAAATAAGGGACAACTACGCAAAATTCAAGGCAAATGTATATTTTTTTACACATGAAAATATTGCTCACAATTGCATAACTCAATATTGTGAGATTCATGTGACTAGCTTATCTGCGAGTATAGACATTCCACTGCGCTATAAAAGTACGCTAGGTAACTCGCAGTTCAAAACTTTTCAAAAGTTGGTGACGGACTAGAAAAGTTGGTTGCGGAGGGGGCCCTTAAATCAAGGTAAGTCCCACTATATTCCTCTACCTGCAAAAATCGTAGCAAAAAATTCGTCCTTGTAAAATTGACAAAAATTAAAATCCAAAAAGTAATAAAGAAAAGGTAAAAGTTTCGGCACACAAAATTCAAAAATAAAAAAAAATGTAAGAAAATTCTTGTAATAAAAAAAGTACGTACAAAATTGTTTAGTAAAAAGTAAGTACGTGAAACGTTATTATTATATTTAATATATTCATAGTCATTCCATCAAAAAAGACATGCGATACATTTTAAATGCAATACATATTTCATCCATTTCTATCCACTTTTTTTACCATGCATCACCGCATTCACATCAAAAAAGACGGAAATTCCTTAACAAAAGGTAATTATTAAATTTTAAACAGTTATTAAGCAGCGTGAGACCAACACAAGACAACACAAAGACAAAAATAGGAGAATCTCGCACTTTCTCCGCTTGCTTAAAAGTTGAGAAATCAGTGGCCGCGGAAGTGTGACGACATAGGGACAATGTCCCACGGTTATTCGATGTCCGCATCATCTCTCCATCTTATATAAACCCCTCCCTCCCCCATCCCACAATGTTAATGTCCCCACAGCTTCCGCGGCCACTGTAATAAGAAATGACATATAAAACCGCAAATAAAAAGCAGATTGAACAGTACCAACCAACGAGTACAGCATGTAATAATAACAGAGTTCGTGTTATTATACCAGAACATTTAGCTCATACAGCACAATGGAAGAACATCTTTGTCCACGTGTACACAAGAGAAAGAGAGAGCGGAAAATAGCACATTCACAGAGAAGAAGAAGAACAATGAAATGAACATGACAAACATGAATTCGGACGGAACACACACATTGCATTAACGTTTTTTTTGGCCTCTGACAAAGACATGACACACGACATGACAATTAGTTAATGAGTAGACGAGACAAGTAGTGTTAAATTCTTACATGATGCACTCCAGGAGACTGACAAAACTGTTTTTATGAAGAGACAAATTCAAAGAAGCAGAAATCATGAAAATCCAAAGAAATGTCACATTCAGTTCATCATTTTTTCATTTTTTCTTTTAAACTAGGTCGTTTCGTGACATGTGGAATCTTGGTTTGCTTCAACTTTTAATCAGGTAAAGAATTTTATGGTACTTATATAAACTTATAAAAAAAGGGGTGTCGAAATCATGGATTGATTAATGAGTAAAAATCACCGTCTCTGCCTTACCACACCTGAAAAACGAGGTAAAATTATGGAGTCGTAGTTAAATTACAAGTTTTAAGGTAGGATTCGATGACGCATCACTAAAATCTTAAAATAATAAGACTTTTTAAATAATTTTTCGGCTCTGGGAATTTATTTTAAAATTTTGGACGACAAATTTGTAGCCAATAAGTTGATTATTTTTGTATTTTTTTTGTATTTTTATTTAAATCCTAAACCCTTCCAGGCCGAGGCCCATAGAGTTACATAATAATAATTTAAGTAATATAAATAAAATAAAATAATTAATATTTAATTAAAAATACTAATATTTTAAAGTGAGTTCTACTTTAACGATTTTGTTAAGTGAGTTCATAATTGCATGAGTAAGAAAATGCTTGACATAATATAAGTTGTCTAATAAGTTGATTAGTAAATGGCGATGAGCTTTTAAGCGAGTTTCGAAGAGTTCCAATTTTTCTGAAGGTTTCTTAAACTTGAGATTTCCTCCTTCAAAAAGTGTCAAAATCTGGAGGGTATATTTAAAAAAAATTGACAACCACCTGCTCTACAAATTTGTCGGGCAGAATTTTAAAATAAATTCCCAGAGCGGAGAAATGATTAAAAATCTGATAATTTTGGTGATGAGTCATCAAGTTCTACCTTAACCACATGGAAATAAATTCATGTACATACATGTTGCCTCATGTAAGCGACCCAGTCTTGGTCTGATGAATGGACACGTCTGTCTCCAGAGGAAGGTTTGGATCGGAATGGGCACCGCAAAGTCTTCGTCGTTGGAGTGATTGACTTCGGAGGTTGTTGTGGCGGATGGTTCCTCCTCCGTCATCCCTGGACTCGTCGTAGTGGCCATTAGTTTCTCCTTACCATTCGCAACTTTATAGTGCATGAACAATACTTGGTGCAATTGCAGGATCCATTTTTCACTTTCTAGAGACCCCAGACTGCCTAAAAGAAGACGATAGAAATAGATGCTGACCTTATTGTTGCAATATTTTGGAAAATATGTACGTTCGAAACATATATATCGAAGCCAGACCCATATTTTCTGAATTTTTCGCCGAGTTTAACAAAAAATTTTAAACTGAAGCCTTATTTTTGTTTATCTTGTAACTTTTTGAATTTTAAAGTTAGTTAAAAAATTGTATAACAGCCGGTTTTAGACTGAAAACTGTCGTTGAATTTCGACATTTTTTGCAATTTTTTCGCAATGGCTAATTGCCGCACCAAAAGTTTATAAAGAGTTATTGGTCTATCTAAATGCGTGGGTTACAAGAAGACCCATGATTTGGGATCCCAAAGTGAAAGTATGCAACCAACTTATTACTACATAAAGTTATGATTAAATAGTTGCATTTCACTGTTGTGTAGAATCATTTCTAATTGCTGCAAATTCTGAGGCATCTATGTTTTATTTGGAATACAATTTTTACATTCCCTGGCATGGACAAAATTTAAAATGTATTTTCCTTATCCGAAGAAACAAAATCTGCAAAGATGTAAATACAGAAGGTAGTTATTTTGAGCATTTGTGTAATACGCCTGCTTTTGTGTGGCGGAGACGGGTGCAATTTATTTTAGTTAGAAGTCTCTTCATGCATTCTGGCCCGTAATTTAGGGACCACTCTTCTCTTCCTTCCGTTTTTGCAACTTAATCTTTCCTTTCTTCTTTTACCTGTCCTCCTCCTCCTCCCATTCTGACTGTCTCGCCATAATGTGGCTGATCTACTTCCTCTTTCGATAAACAATGGCGGATCAATATGAACCAAACATATCCTCCGTCATAGATACATGGCTTGGCCACATTACGAATTTTTATGTCTTTACCACTTTCTTTTTTACTACAGACAGCTAAACTAAGGATGGAACTTTTTTTTCAAGCTACACCCGGTTTGTCAAGCGAGTAACAGTAAAAAATCAAGTCAAAAATTAGGAATTGCATGGAATTTATCGTTCCGTTGAATGATCTCTTAGAATAAGAATATTTGAGGGCAGTGTTCACACGTACGCCTTTGTTTGTGGATATGGAAAGCAATCAAGAGAAAGTTGAACTTTGCCGCCCACTATTTTTAAACAAGCTATTCAACGCAAAGATAAGTGCCATGTGGTGATTCCTAATTTTTGGCCAAATTTTTTGACATAATTCGCTCAACAAAAGCCTGGTGTAGCTTGAAAAAAGGTCCCATTCTAAATGGTGGAACAATTGTGTTAAACAAATTAATAACTTGCTTGGCCAGAAATATACTAATTTAATATCACCCTCTCCTTATCACATCACACATTAATCCGTATTTGTGTAAAGTGTGTATGTCCTGCCCACTAATGAAACCCTGCAAATAAATGCAACTTTCTCCCGGAACAGCTTTCTCGTATTCGCTTTCCTTTCTAGTTCCTTGCCTAATTTGATTCATGCTCGAGCAAAGTTTCCATCTATTACATGTCATGTCCGGGTTGGTTATTATTACCGTTATTGACATTGGATAACGATTTGGATCTCTGCTCTACCTACAAAGGAATGAAATGAAAGTGATAGATTTCTGGGGAGCGGATATTAAGCGTGTAATTCAGCTTGGACACGCAACCCTCCTGGAGAAAGCTGTGTCTACATGGGTATTATTGGCAGTTGTGGTGCGGTGGTGGTGTTAAATTATATAACGAAGGGATCATGTTGACTGTTTTTTTTCTCTACAAAGATTTATTCCCCTTCTTTTCTTTAAATGACCCCATTTCATGTCATGTCACGGAGGAGGACAAAGCATTCTAAAGAATTTTTGGTCATGGCTTTATTTTCCTGGTCGGACCGAACTGTCAAAAAAGTCTTGTAAACAGCTTTCTCTTTCAACTTTCTTTTAGAAAACTGGTATTAAGTTATCACTGACTGGAGTGCATGTATATGTATGTGATTCTACCGGCACTGGTAATAACGGGCATTATCATTTAGTAATGTAATGTGGTATGGTGGTAGTCAAAAATTTACAAAATCAGGTAGAAAGTTGCTACCAAATAATGCTAGTACGGAGTATATATGCCCTGTTAACAATGTGGTCATATAGATTTGGGAATAGCTTTCTCCCGGATTGGTAAAAGTTTGTTTCTGCGTGGTAAATTTTCCTTACCAAAAAGGTATATTTCATTACTATACGGTAATTCCCGTTATTTCCGTGCCGGTGAAGTCATACATGCACTCTGTTGGGTAATGATTTAGCACACTTTTTCTAAGTATGGCCCCCAGATTTTTAACGGTGTGCTTCCATGTTATTCCATTTTGCAAAAAATGTGCCAAAATTTCATACCGACTAACTAACTCACTCACCTTGCTTGAAGAGCCCAAGGCTTGACGAACTTTCTCCTAATATCTATTATTAATTTATATCTATGTATTTATTCCTATGCGATATTCACATTATTCTTAACTTGAGACGAAATAAACAACAAGTGTTACTGTTACTCAGATCACTTTTACGTTAAAGTGTATTCAGCACGAAGAAGAAGAGAGTGTTGGAAATTCATGGGAGGGGAGAAGTAACTGGGAGATTTGGGAGAGAGTGGAAAGGAAATGTGGAGAAAGTGGATTCGTTAAGAGCACCAACGACGAAGGGAGTCTGGCTCCACCAAATATGTAACTAAGGAAGGAGGAAAAGTACGGATTTGCAAAAACTCGTGCTGCAGACCGTGCTTGGCTTCTTCTTCTTCTCGGACGACAACAGAGCCCAGACTCCAACCAACCAACCACCGAACGAACTTCAGAGCAGGAGTTGACGACGAGCAGTGTCGACTCTGCCGATCTTCCTCAATTTCCACATTCGCAATCGCAAAAGGAAATGAAAGTAAGCCACGGAGAGAGAAGGGGAGAGGGACCATGTAGCACATCACGGAATAAGGCTCCTCCACAGATCTGTAGGCTCAGGCAGAGGGTGAGATGTGGATGTACTTTCACCCGTGTACTTTCACCCATTCCATCACAGCTTTCACTGATGGAGAGTGATATTAAATGAGTTGTAGTTTTGGAGCAACAGTTGTGTACCGAGTTTTTATTGGTTGGTACATAAATACTTTCAGTGGCCGCGGAAGCTGTGGGGGCATTAATATTGTAGGATGGGGGAGAGGGAGGGATGAGTTTATTTAAGATGATGGGGACATCGAATAAGTGTGGGGACATTGTCCACATTCTTCCGCGGCCACTGGGTACTTTCTCTGCTAATAATATGCATTTATCTGTATGAACATGAACATAAACTAGTGTGGACGCAAATATTTATGTCCGATTGAATGATCACTTGGATGGAAGGAATTGATATTCTAAACGGGAATGCACACTAACTAAGGTTCCAGGCTCATAAATTACTCCACGGAGTGAACTTTGGTCATCTAAATCTTTATCGAGCTGGATGCTGGAATTAGGAGAGAGAAAGAGCGAGAGAGAGAGAGGAATTACGAGTTGGTTGTGCACGGAGATCGATTTTTCCTCGAGAAGAGCACTTATTCTGCCCCACTTGAGGTGTTCGATATGGATACAGAGTAAGTGAAAATGAAGACGTTAGATACACAAAAGTACGGATCTTCTGTGGAGTATTTTTGCATTATGAAAGTTTTCGTGCAAAAATATTTCAAATGTGACTATTTGCAGATTTGCAATGTACTTATTTGTTTGCGGAGTATTTTTGCATTATGAAAGTTTTGGTAAAAATGTAACTTTTTGCAGATTTGCATTCACCGGCGGAAATTCTTGATCAAAGGAAATGTTGAAAAGTGGAAAATGTTGAGCAGGCGTCCACGTCGCAAGTTTGTCTTAAAACTTTGAAGTGAAATGTTATGATGATGATGATATTTGTGTGTTGGTGAGTGAAACCATGCAGTAGTCTTGTCTGTACTCTTTCACAATCAGTGGCCGCGGAAGCCGTAGGGACATTAACATTGTAGGATTTATAGGGGAGGGAGGGGTTTATGTAAGATGGGGAGATGATGCGGCCATCGAATAACCGTGGGGACATTGTCCCTCTGTCCCCACTCTTCCGCGGCCACGATGGAGTGCAGAATGAAATTATGTATTCATTCAGTGAAAACTTTTCGGATATTTCTGCCTTCCAATAATCACTCTCTCTTCAATTTCATGCAATTTTACATGTGTAGATAGATCGCAATTAGGTGTTAGTTTACATTTGGAAAATGTCTGCCTTGCCTTCTTCTTCGCTACGGTTGAATTAGCATTATTATTACATAGCATTATGAGGAATATCAGTTTCCTCACAGCTTCGTTTACAATTCTTTCCGTGTTATCAGGATCTGTTACACGAACAGAGTTGAGTTAGCAGCCGACAGATCCAGATTAGCTTTCCTTCATGCACCTCAAGGCAAGTCATAATCATGCATGCATGCCTGTGGTTGGAGGAACATTGTTTAGCACGGTTGGTTTATTCCATCGATCCAAAAACAATAGAATGGAATGGGTGGATGGACAGATATCTAGTCTGCTGGCATTTGGCAGAAACATGTTGGTAAAATCTCACCCTCCTGGATGGCTTGACTCGTCTCTGAAATGTCTAGCTTTTGATGAGAAGGAAACTTGAGGAAAGGCTTTTATGGGCTTCATTATTGGGGATATTTTTCAACAGGAAGGCAATATTGTAAGAGATAAATGGTTTGACGGGCTATAAAACATCAAATATGTGTCACACGAAACAATGGAGGTCTCCCAGCGATTGCTCTCCGATTTTGAGTAAACCAGTGTCAATCGATAGCAATTTTAATTAGGTTGAAATTTGCGAAAGACACGATCTCCCAATGGGCACGTTTGGCAGAGATATTTGCATCCAAAGAGGAGAAAATCGGCCTTAAATTCGACAAATTGTACACTTTCCAAATTTACTGGGCGTTTTCTCCTCTTCGGATGCAAATATCTCTGCAAAACGTGCCCATTGGGAGATCGTGTCTTTCGCAAATTTCAACCTAACTTAATTTGTGATCGATTAACACTAATTTGCTCAAAATCGGAGAGCAACCGCTGGGAGACATCCCTTGTAAGTGAGGAATTTTATACCTTGTCACTTATTCTGGCAAAAACTACACAGATTGTACACATATTATCCTAGTTGTAATTATCCCGTCGACACTTACCGGAGAAAGGTGTCAAATGCATGGCATATGCGTCATAAAACCAAACCACAATAAAAACAGGCTCCTATTTCTATACAGCATGAAACAACGTTTCGTTGAGACCTGTCGTTACGTTATCACGATGTTTGTGTATACGGTACGGAAACCTCACGGTGTACTAGATTTTGCTCAAATTCTGCCATAAAATGTGCATGCGGTGCCATTAGTGGGCATCCTTAATAGCTCCCAACTCTTTGACTTTTAACTCCTTTTTGTAATGTACATACAAATGTCGGGTCGGGGAGCACCTTCTCATCCTCGGCTAATCTCTTATCACCAGACTCTCATAAAAATTTACTACTTTCGGACCGTCAATGTAACTAAAAAAGCGAAAGGATATGTATGTATGTATAGAAGCTAAAGTTCAGCCTGTAGCCATTTCCGAAAAAAAAGATGGCAAGACATTCATATTACATACATGACGAACACCAAAAATGCCAGATGTACACACTTCTCTCATATTCATGCATATCCGCCGCTTATGACATTTTACGTAGGAATGCTAAATGAAAAGTAGAGAAAATCAGGATAGTTTTGTACCCAGTAAAATTTATTGTTTCAAGCTTTCGACAACAAATTGCTATTCAGTCCAGGGTTTCGTTTCTTGCAGATTTGCCACATTTCTTGCAGGGCAAAGCAAGCTACGCAAGAAATGCGAGGTGCAAGAAACTGGGAGAAAGTGCAAGAAATATATGCACCATCTAGCCACGCGCCGTATGAAGTATAGCGCTGAAAAGGAGTTTCTAGCGCCTTGTATTTCTTGCAGGTTAAAATAGCTGCAAGAAACCTTCTTGCCGTCATTTCTGGCAAATGGTCACCCGAAACACTGCTTGATATTTTTTCGTATTGGAAATGATTAGACAAGTTTATGCAAATAATCTGGATCGAATTTTTTGCATAATTTTTCTTCTTTATTATCATCTTGAAAATGTAGAGCAATTATGATAATTTTGTAGTAAATAGGTACATATTTTGTCGTTTTTTATTATTATTTCACTTTCCTTAAAAATGGGATGGAAAAGACTCCACCTCTTCCAAAACCGGATGAACTATGGTACAAGGATTTCGTTCCCTTGTCCACCAACCCGAAGGAATTTGATCCAAAATTTTTTCGTTCCCGAGGAGAGATAAATGAAAATTCCGTTCCATTCAAACTATCCAACGAATTATGGAAGGGATTTTTAGATGAAGGCGATTTGAAATGTTGGTGCTGTGGATTTTTGGTCATATCTGACGACGAGTCTTCCTCGTAATCACTCCACAACACGGCTTCATCATCGTCACACAAACTTTCATGTTTCATGTTTCCTAAACAGACCCGATTTCTTCTCTTAAAACCAGGAAATTTATCGGTGGACTGTTTAATACTGGAAATTAGCTCACGTCCCTTGATCGCGTTACATGCTAAAAATGCATAAATCGGCAATATAATGTATGTAACCTGGTGAGAATAATGTGATAATCAGAGGGTGGATATGTATTTACAAAAAAATTGCTGAAATGCATAAAAATATGCACGAAAAATTTAAAAATCATAAAAATATAAAATTTTCTAAAAATTTGTATTTCTGAATATAATGCTCTATATTTTTTGCCGTCGAATTTCTTTAAACACAAAAATTGTCTCGCATTCCGCTGAAATAGTTATAAAGTATATGAATTTTTGAAAAGAAATATGTAAAAAAAATTACGTATTTTTCAAAATAATACGGGAAATGTAAAAATATTTTGACATTTTTGTGATCTATGCGAGTTAGGGAACAGACCCACAGAGTTTTACAGCTGGTGATCAAATGCAAAATTTTAAAATCTGAATACATATCCGCCCTTTGGTGATTATAGCGTCACACCACGCTTACCTTGTTGACCTTGAGTAGCCGTATACAATTTCAAATCTTTAAACGCTCTAGCCACCCCTTTAAATCGTTTCGTAGAATTAGAGTCGGAATAAGACATTGCTATCTATTGCTACTAAATGTATGAGAATTCAGTGCGTCTGGTTATTAGTAAAATACAGGTAAAAATGAACACCTGCCTCCAACAGGAAGCAGTTTAGTGATTGAATTCAATACAATGGAGCGACTCCGACCTGCTCTTGTGTAGTGTAATTATTGTGTGGAAAATGGAATATAATAGCATTTCCTGCATTACGGCTGCTTCATTAAATGGTACCTCACGTACGTATTTATTATCTTTGAATCATGCATCAGCATTCTCCTTCTGTCACTAAATACAATTCTGAATTTTAATTTATCCAATGCTACAAACCAAATTGGAGGATTTGCATAAATACTCAAATTTAGCTCGGTCGGAAAACTCTACTAAAATGCAGGATAATAATAATAAGAGAACAGAGGTTAAACACGACCAGATGGGAGGCATGTAATGAATTTTTATGCATCCAGTGGCCGCGGAAGCCGTGGGGACATGTGGGGACGTTAATCTTCTGGGATAAGAAAGGTTTATAGAACATGAGTAGATGATGGGGACATTGAATAACCGTGGGTGGGGACATGTCCCTCTGTACTCACGCTTCTGCGACCACTGCAACCGACGACATTCGTAGTTCATCCGTATGTACGAGCAGTGGCCGCGGAAGCTGTGGGGACATTTTTTGTGGACATTAACATTGTGGGATAGGGGGAGGGGTTTGTATAAAATGGGGAGATGATGGGGACATCGAATAACCGTGGGTGGGGACAGTGTCCCTACGCTTCCGCGGCCACTGTCTTTGCTTAGGCGAACATCAGTCAGATGTACATACATACATACAAAACAACTAATAATATTCTATTTTAACAAGTGCTGTACTCCAAACGAAAATAGACACAATGGGATAATGGCCATGACAGTGAAAGAAGAATCAAACTCTGCAAAACCAGAAGTGGAGTGAAGTGAACAACTACTGACGTCAATCGCTTAACTTAACAAACGTTGGTTTAGCACTGCTCAAAAAGAGGCAGGGGGAAGACATACATTTTTATATACGGTTGCAAAATTATTTTTGCGAGCTGTAATAACTACATAAATATCACTGTTTCGGACTAGAGATCGTAAAGAAATGTGCAAACAATAATACGTTTTAGACCGAGAGAAGAATATGTAGCAAGTTACAAAAAAATTGGACAGAATTTTTGAAAATACAAAACTATCGCATACTGTTAGAGTAATACCTTATAAAATGTTATCAATGCTGCTGCTGCAAATATTTTATGTATGCAAAAGGACTAATTAAGTAGACGTCAGTTGTTCTTCTTAACCGATGGAGTTGTTTCAGCTTGTTCAGTCTCAGAGTCGCTGTGCTGGGATAATGTCGAGTTCATAACTTCTATGGCACACCGACGTGGAAGCCATCCTTTGACCTTGATACAATCTGCTCCTGGGTGATGCTCGTTGGTGAATATTTCTGCATAAATCCAATGCTTTTTCCATCGAGTGACCATTATTCGATCGTCCTTGCGTACAGCAATTCGTGGCTCGTCGGAACACGGTGGGTGGAAGAAAACGGCGAAACCTTTAGAGATGGGGAACCAAGAGCCGCCGTATTCTTCGATAACGGTGCATTCTCGAGTTCGACGCTTTTTATCATTTTTTTGTTGAATCTGCTCAATCTGAAAGGGATAATGGGGTATTAATATCGTATTAATGGGGTGTAATATTTAGTTATATGTACCGTCATCGAGTATTGGTCAGCATTTTCTGCAACCGGCCTAAGAAATGTAAGAAAGGATATCGCAAATAAATCTTTACATGAAATAATGACTTTTGTGAAGTGATTCAAACCACAAAAACATTCATGCTTACCAGTCGCACCCGTTCCCCACAGGAAGACAAGATAAATTCATGACAAACATGAAATTCTTTTTTCGACCAAGATTGTACGGATTACTGAATGGGGGTAAATGAGGGCAAATCTTTCTTCGATAGTTTGCCTTCTCGATAATCCATTCTTCAATTGTCGTCTCATTCTTTAGAACGACTTTCATCTACGAACAAAAATTACGTTTAGTTATATGTACCAAAATGAAAGACGGATTAGTTAACTGTCTTGTTTAGTTTTAGTTCACCTGGTAGAACAAAAGCACCCCAACGCCAAGCGCCACACCGACGGCGCATCCACAGCTAAACAAACACCAGATAAAGCCGTACATTCCCAAGTAGACGAATGGAACGTTAACTCCGTAGTACATGTAGTAAGTCTGCAAGAAGAACACGATCTAATTAATCGGCAAATTATGGAATAAAATAAAGCTTTCTATTCCACTTACACGATACATAGCTCTATACAAGGAACACACGAGAACAACGGTCGCATGGGAGCAACCAATCACTGCACTGAAGAGAAAGGAGACGAAATATGCGTGATTGTGATGTCCCACGCAACAGTTGATCCATGGACAATGATGATCCAGTTTCATGACGCATCGTCCACCTGGTGAAATAATCGGTCATTAATTAATTAGTAATTAATTAATAAGAAATCAAAAATTTCATGCTCATATTTACATTTCCTGCAATGATGGGCGCGAGGTGCTTTGAATCCTTTACAAATGCTGCAGTACTTTAAATAGAATTAAAATTAAAATTAAAATACGTAAAGTGAGAGCAATTTTGTCGAAATTTCGATTTTTTGAGCGTAAAACAAAACTTTAGAAGTTGGAATACCTGTAGCTTGGATTTTGAACTCGTATCTTCCTAATAATCAGAAAAAGATGTATAATTTAGAACACACAAATTTAGGAAATCAAAAATTTTGCCTTACTGGGGTCCATCCCAAGGGCAAAAAGCCAGGACCGTTTGAAATCGCTGAGAAGAAATTAAACATGACCATTCCACTTGAAACTAGGAAAGACGTCAGTGACAATAATCCTCCAATACTTTCATTCGGAGGCCTGCATAATCAGTAGTAAATTATGTTGTGCTATGTTTAATTGGAAAATAAAATAACAATTACTTACCACCACATTAACGAGCAGTAAATGACCTAAATTAATTGGATTAGCATGATTAAAATTTTTAGAAAGGGGAAAGTGTTTTTGTTTTAAATTAAGTTAAGACTTACGGATAGCGTTATTGTCTTGATAAGAACTGGAAAGTAAAAATTGATATCAAAAATTCACGCAAAAGACAAATTCACCTCTAAAAATTTAGTAAGTCAGTTATCATTCTGATTACCCAAAGTGCTCAATGGTCCAATATGTAACAACCTTCTGAACAAGTCGGCAAAAGTCTTCATTTTGTCGGAATAATGTTTTTCCTAAAATGCACAGATAACTTTAGCCGACAATGAGATCACTTCGTAATTATGTGTCCTTTTTGATCTTGAAAATGTCTCATTTATTCTAAATTTCACATAAATTAATTGTAAATATCTCCGACAAAATATAAATAGCAAATTTTATTTGTTTACAAACATTGCAACTTACCGATTAGACCATCAGATTCACGACTTTCCTACGTATACAATTTACAGCTCGGTGATTAGAAGACACTAATTACTAATAATTATTAATTACAAATCATGTGCAAAAATTTTGCAGTAAAATTACAAAAGTGCAAAACCCCAATTGTTTTATTCTGCTGAATTTGCAAAATGTATAAATTGAACCCCGCTTTTTTTGCTGGGGCAATAGCGTAGAGATTCTGGAAGAAAGTCCAATTCGGGTTGGCAGATGGAATGCGATGCATGCATTTCCGGTTTCAGCTTTTGTGCATGAGTTTGTCAAACATTTTCATGGACTAGTATTTCAGTTACATTATGGCTTATCACATTTCTGCAACCTATTTTAATTTATGCCCAGTTTTCCTTAATTGCGGTTCATTCATGCAAAACAAAAGATATGCAAATCGCCATTCTCCTAATTGGTTCAGGCAAATTTTAAAGTTTTTAGTTGGTCGACACAACTTTGTGCAAGCTTTAATAAAAAAAAACATCAATTGTAAATCAGTAAAGAACGTCATGAAAGTGAGACAATTTAAAGATTCAAACTATTTCCTTCCAGTTTTTAATTAATTTTGTAACAAAAGACATTTTATTTTATTCAGGCGCAATCCAGGTTACAATTGCTTATCGCCCTGTTCCTCTTGGTCCTTGGGTTGACGACAAGTTTGGCTGAAAGTTCGCCGATGACGATGAGAGTGGCCAGGAACCGATGGGGGACTAATAGAAGGCCAAATAAATTTGGAACTGGAATTAATATTTATAGTGATAACAGAGGTTCCGGGGGATACGGATTTCCAATCGGTAGGTACAGATACTGATTGGGTCCGTGGGCATGGGGGTAGGGAAATAAAAGTCACATCCTAAATCTGTGCATGTTTTTATTTAAGTTTTCATGCGAATAATGGTTAAATTTTGATGTATATACATATCTAGCTCACTAATAAATAACTAACTAAATAAATAAAACGTGCGGTTTCCGTTGAATGAAGTTTCCGTTGAATAATATATTATTTTAAAGTTTTTTTTACTAACATGACAAATTACAAGTTAAACTAGTCGAGAAACAATAAAAGGTCTCCAACTTTAAATATTTAAAATTAATATCTCAAGACCGTAAGTATTTATACATATGCATTCGCATATTCGTTATTTTGTAAATATCACACACAGGATAATTATAGCTTAAGATCTGTACAATTATTTAGATGTCAAATTTTCGAATCATCTCCATTTTCCTACTAATTCTCCTCCTCATCAACGACAATAATGGTAGTAGCAGAAGAAACCATTTGATAAAACGACAAAGCCGAATGTGGAATGGAAAAAATCGGATTCAATTCAACTTTGACAAATCATATTCACATTTTCGTGGAATTGGGTCACCCTCGAAGTTTAATTCATTGCAAAATTTAAAAAAAATTGTCTTTTTAGGCCTTTTAAGATGGCCTTATAGATTTACCAAGATGTCTGTCTGTCCGTCCGTCTGTGCGTCCGTCTGTGCGCACGATAACTCTCTTTAAACACAAGCTATCGACTTGAAATTTTACACATTTCATCTTCGGGTCAAAAGTAAGGATGAGTTCGGAGATGGGCATGATCGGCCAAGTAGTTGGCCAGTGGGGGTCTTTTCACCCAAATGTGTTGCCATTAACTACCAAGATGGTGTTAATGCCATCTTAAAAGGCCCCGCAAAGTTGCTTAAAGTGGGTTTTTATCATGATTTTGGTAACGACAAATTGGTAATAAACATTACTAATGTATCAAACTGTGTTGTATACACAAATTAGTTTATGAAACAGACATTCTTGTCTCATTAAGGACCTTGATATTCAGTTTGACGCACGTTTAATGTCTCAAACAACGCTTACAAGCAATGAAATGATAGATAAATAAAGTTATATTCCGTCGTATCATTCTTACGACAAGACTTTCGTTTTAGATTTACATTACCTACATACAAATATACTCACATGTTTATGTACAAATATATGTATTAAATAGTTGCCTGTAACATGTCCACCGACGAATAACGTGGTCAGCCAGCTCTCTGCAGGCGTCCTTCCTTCCTCTTTTAAGAAAATCATTACATGCAGCAACTAACGGTATAATAATGCAATTTCGCCGTGAATTAATCAATGTTGTGTCCCTGACTGTGCGTATACGACATGAATACAAAGAGGAAGCACATGCACTTTTCCCATGTCCGACTACGTATCTACTTATGTAGCAAACACTATTTGCCAAACAGGAAGTGACTTTGAAATCATAAAGATTTTCTGTAAAATTACTTTATTATTCCATTCTTCAATAAATATTATATACTTGCACGTAAATATTTACAAGATACTTAATAGGAACTCACAGAATAACGGGACAATTCACGCAGTAGTTTAACTTGTAATATTCGGAAATTTTGTATATTTTAGAAATTTTGTAAGAGTTTGTACGTTCACAGAATTTACGGATTTTACAAGACCTGCTGCATGAATTGTGGTGAAATGTTTATATTTAGAACAGCTTCTCATTGTCGGTGGCCGCGGAAGCCGTGGGGACATTGCCATTGTAAGATCGGGGGGGGGGACATTGTCCCCTTCGTCTCCACGCTTCCGCGCCACTACTCAATGTATTACAAGATTTTCAGAAGAAAAATGCTGATAATAAGTTATTTGCAGCGTAAAAAAACAGTAATAGGCAACGAATTAGCTTGCATTGACTGAAAAATTGACTCCGTAGCATAACAGCGTCGTTGATATGTGGTTTAGCGTCCCCTCTTTGTAGTTTTTTAGACTTTGGTATCAACATCGACTAAATTCTGTTTGTCCTCTTTGGGTACAAAGTCCCAAGAAAACTGATTGAAATCGATGACTATCCAATAAATATAGATTTGGAGAAAGGCCACGACAATTAGTGGCAACGCGGCGTGGAAATCGACGCCCGAAATGGTGAGGGACAAAAGACCCGAAACGCATCCGGCCATCATCAGCGTGCTCAACAAGAAGGAAAAGACCACCATGCAATTGTTCATCTGAAAAATAAGTAATTAAAAAAGTATGATGAGTATTTAATTTAGCCAAAATTTCTACATTTTTAAAAACTAATTTCAATTGTTCATCTATAAAATAAGCAAAAAATACATAATTAATAACTTCTTCTACGGCGTCAGGGGGCATTTTTTTGAAAATTTGACTTTGTTAAATCAAAACTTGCAAGCTTTCGGCTTATATTGAAAACTTCATCGAAAATTGGAAAAAATTGGAAAGTATTATTGGAAAATATTTAAAATTGTACATTAGCAATTTTTAAATTTTAAATAATGGAATTTCGAAATGTATGTACATACAGATACATGGATGCACCTGAAATTTTTAAAAATCAACTAGTCTTGTGGACCAGATTAATTGGCAAACTTTGGGATTAGGTCATTTTGCTTTCTAATCTTTTAATATCAGCGATTCCTTGAATTTTTTTTATAAAACTTTCCTAAAATATATAAGTACATACGTAAGTGATGAGTAAGTGAATTAAGCCAAAATTTCCACATTTTTATTTAGTAACTATATGCTAATTTCTAGAAACGCTTATTATTTATTACGTAGTTGCACATACTCTAATCTGAATTCAAGGTTGCCTTGCTCTTCTCTGATCTGCAGTTTAATTGCGCAATTTGTCTTTATATATACACATTTGTTACTTCATGCATAAATAATAATCCGCTTGCACATTCTTCTTTAACAGTGGCCGCGGAAGGGTGGGTGGGGACAGAAAAGGACAATGTCCCCACGGTTATTTGATGTCCCCATCATCTGCCCATCTTATATAAACCCGTCCCTCCCCTATCCTACAATTTTAATGTTCCCACATGTCCCCACAGCTTCCGCGGCCACTGTTCTTTAATGCAATATGGACTTAAAGAAGAAACACCTACATACAAAAGTATAATCATAAGAGTCGCATTTTCCTTTCAATGTGTGCTTAACGATTGCGAAAATTTTTCAGGCTTTTAACACTCACTGTACTCACAGCTTATTAGTTTATATGCACATTTTTAGGTCATTTTATAGCGAAGGTGTTAATTCTTAATATGTACAAAGTTTTTACTTACAGTGGTTGACGCGATTGTGAGGACCAGACCGAGCAGGAATATTCCGACGGCTGGTAACAGAAATTCTGGAAATCAGAAGATAATTATTTATCTAAGGACACAGTTTGCATGTTCGGACACCACTTAAACTTAATTTTGTGCTTATTGCTCAATTCACTGGGCTGAATTTTCTCATCGTCATTTCCTTTAAGACAATGAACAATGAAGTTCAGTTCACATTAGTAAAAAAATAACTGGTAGGTTTCTGAGACTCGAAATTGTGCGTGTACATGTAGCTACATATTTTCCCATGATAAGCTGAAATTCCATACGCAGTGGCCGCGGAAGGGTGGGGTCAGAGGGAGATTGTGCATGTACACATAAATGTGTAGCTACATGCATATTTTCCCATGATAAGCCTATGCAGTGGCCGTGGAAGGGTGGGGGGGACAGAGGGACAATGTCCCCACGATTTTTCGATATCTACATCATCTCCCCATCTTATATAAACCCCTCCCTCCCCCATCCTACATAGTTAACGTCCCCACATGTCCCCACTGCATCCGCGGCCACTGGTAGTTAGCGATGGTAGGATTATTTTATCCATGCAGTGGCCGCGGAAATATGTGGATAGAGGGACAATGTCCCCACGGTTATTCGATGTCCACATCATCTCCCCATCTTATATAAACCCCTCCCTCCCCTATCCTACAAAGTTAACGTCCCCAGATGTCCCCACAGCTTCCGCGGTCACTGGCGATACGTAAGCGCACATCTCCTGAGTCAGATTTCTTAAGGAAAAATTACCTATAAAGAGCTGCAGCGTGTCTTCGATAATGACATCATTATACTTGGCACTGTCCAGACTGAGGGGCTGAATGGGGTCCAGCATTACATGCCTTTCATTAGGATTTAGAGCAATCAGGGAAAGTCCCGTCATCCCGATGAGCTAATCGAATATCGAGATTAACACCTTATCAGAATTATATATTTCTAAAGATAAGTAATAAATCGATAAATTTCCTCCTTCTTCTCACCATATTCACCAACCCAGCCAGAAACGCTGCCATTCTCGAACTTATGAAGTAACACGGGCGAATCATTTTTCTACCCAGGTGAGTAAAAACTAAGATTAAGTTGACAATTTCCGCCCTAGATTTTCCTCTTTTTACGTATTTTTCACATTAGACTAAAGCACGTCACGTTTTTAGAAAGACATTGCAATGTCAGAGCTATTATAAAGCAGCAGCTGCTATCACGAGCTCAGATTACCAACTAAATTATAGCCAAGTCTTTGCCGAGAATCGTACAGAGAATGAAATTACCATCAACTAACATTTACTAGCTGCCTGATAAACCAACAGTGCATAACGTTAGCACGTACTAAATAAAAGCCTTATACTTACTGAAGCCATCATGCCAAAATACAATAGTTTGCATGCAGTTGGTTAGTTTGGTGGTTTGGTAGGTGATGAATCATCCCCACTTTTTTTTGCGCAAGGATGTCCGCTATAATATTCTTCCCCCTTTGCTAAATTATATTCTCACCTTCCCAACAGCATCATTATCCTCGAATTCACCTCACTACGACGAAACGAAGAAACTTGTTGCCAATAATAACATTGTGGTCTGGTCTGGCTGCATGGTGGATGAGATATGATACAAATGCTAATTAATAGACTTGCTACGGAAAAAAAATCATCCCTTGATTAAATATTATGAGTAATAATAATGCCAAAGTTTTTTTTTTTTTTGCGGAGTGCATTTTTTTGCGGAGGAGGAGTATCTAAAATAGAGGATTACTATGCAGTACATAAGCCTCTCCGTATTAACACATTCTAATACACATTTTTAGTCGATACTGTATGTAAACTGGATTTACTTACTTCTGACCAAGATTTTGTTAAAGAGGTACAGTTGTATTGGTTATAACCTTTCTGCCCAAAAAGTCGTTTTGATAGGAATCGAGCGTGCACGCGCTCTTCCCAACTTTTGCACGAAATTTTCAACTTTGTCCTAGAGATGCGAAATTTGGCATGCACATGCACCAACATATGCTGCATCATAATATAACATCAATTCCCGTTCCGTTCGCTATAAATTTTTCAGGAAAAATCAAAAACCAAATGTCACCCCTATTCCGTTTGGCTTTTGATTTTTCCTGAAAAATTTATAGCGAACGGAACGGGAATTGATGTTATATTGTGATGTAGCATATGTTGGTGCATGTGCATGCCAAATTTCGCATCTCTAGGACAAAGTTGAAAATTTCGTGCAAAAGTTGGGAAGAGCGCGTGCACGCTCGATTCCTATCAAAACAGGACTTTTTGGGCAGAAAGGTTATAACCAATACAACTGTATGTAAAGCCATGATTAAACAGGCCTATTACAACGTAAAGTTAAATAATGACGTATTTGTACACATAAATAATATGTATGTTTTGATATTATTACGTGTGAGTTATGCAGCAAGGGTGGTAATATGTAAACAGGTAAATAGAAATTCCGCACAGAATTGTTTTACGTATATTTAGTTAGCCAGTAGTGTGTATTCATGTAATACTTGTTATGCATCTGCGTGTATTTATGTATGTATGACAAGACAACAACCTTGATCTTTTCTCAAAGTAGGTAAGTTAATGATGACGTTCAATTTAGAATTTTCATGAGTTGAAGTATATAAATCTTGCTACTAATAAATCGTAAGGAGCATGGTCCATGCTGCATGGACCATAAAAGAAAAGAGGTATACCTATGTATGTACCTCTGTTTTGTAATGGTGCTTTTTCATCATCCTAATGACGTTAACAGGCCTAATTAAGTTAAATGAATTACTTGAGAGAGTTGATTCAATTTGGTAGAGCTGGATGAAATCAAAAAAGTTAACAAGCTCCGTAATTATATATTTACGAAAGCATATTGAGGATTGAATACTTATTGAAAACTGTTTGTCATACAGGGGAAAAACATACAAAAACAAAAACAAGATTTGTTGATAAACGCCCATTTCTTGGAAATTTCTTCATCATTATTTATTATGCTTCCTATATTTGTACGTACGTACATACCCTGACTTTTAAACAATACACATTTTAGCTTCGAGTTTATGGCTCATTTATTCGGAAACTGGGCCAATAGCTAATAAGTAAGAAGAAAAATTACAACAATCTATATACCCACCCACTCTGAAGACCAGTGGCCGCGAGTGCCGTGGGGACAGTAACATCGTAGGATGGGGGAGGGAGGGGTTTATATAAGATGGGGAGATGATGGAGACATCAAATATCTGTGGGGACATTGCCCCTCTGTCGCCACCCTTCCGCGGCCACTGCTGAAGAATATGTAATACTACGTAGTTGATTATAAAAATACGAGAATGTAATAGTCTGGAAATATTCGAAAATAAATTAAAATTTTATACAAAAATATGTACAATACTTTAAAAAAACACAGGATTGTGCTCTCCAATCGTACATATCTATGAACATTCATTTCTAATTGCATAACCTAAAATCCAATCCAGCAACACATTTTCTAGTAGTGCCAATTAACACGCAATCTTGTTTTCACTGGATTCGGTATGCATGAAAAAAAATTGTATAATCGCTGGAATAAGCCTCAATATTTCAAATCCCATTGAAACCCTTTCAGAATTAATTTGGCTTAATTGAGGTGCAAATTGTTTATTCATCCATTGCTTAATGCGCATCGACAAGCAGAAAGCGGATTTCGTGTGCATATGCAAAAGTGTGTTGCTGCCTAAGGTATATGTAGGCAAATTTAATTTGGCTGGTGAAAATTCCACCGTGGAACATTATAAAAGCTGATTTCGATACGTTGCTACAAAAATTTACCAGGGTTTCTTTGTGGTTTTAGCCAGTGACTGTCCTAAACAGCCGTCTAAAATCGGTTTTCACCACGGATTTTGGACGCCCAAAAGTGTCCAAAATGTCCAAAATTGTGAAAACGGGCCAAAATGTTATAAGTCTTCATTATTGACTTTTTCGATAATCCGTTGACGTATATTTAATCTCCCCTTAATTTTGGGCATTTTGGTGTTTACTACGTCATGATTAAGAACATTTCTTTATTTCTCGTAAGCAAAATTATTAAAACAATTTTTTTTCCAAATTTCGTGGTATTACAGACCAACCAAAATGCCTGCCCATAATTATTGGAAGATTACATATCTCTGCATAGATTTGCAAGAAAATTCGCTAATAAACAGCGTATAACATATTACCCCATTTTCCAACGTTGAACGCTTTTGGACAGTTTGGATGGACGTCCAAAATTATTTCAAACAGTTTTGGGCAGTCTCCAGTCCACAGTAGTTTTGAACGCCATACATTCACTGTAACTATTATGCGTTTTTTGGGTAATGGGCCCCCTGTTTGAATTTGAAATCCGCCCGCCACCATGTTAACTTACGGACGAAATGAAACAGCGGCAAAACCAGGGGGGCCCATTACCCAAAACATTCATAATACAGTCGCACTAAGGGAACGTCCATATATTACGTCATCATTTTAGTGGGTGGGTGGTTTAGGTCTTCCTATCTTTCCCATGTTAAAATTCCCTATCCCTTAATGTTTACGTTGAGTGGGTGGATGCTAAAATCGCGAATTTTTGATGACGTAATATATGTATGAATGAACCCTAAAGTGGTTGACGCTATTCTTCTCTCCTCTACAATTTAACTTTTGGTGCTTTTAAAAATGCTCCCCGTGGTAAAAATCCTTGAAGAGCCGGCAGCAAAAGCTGTACGTTTTCTTCGTAACGGTGAAGGAGGTTCACTTCCGGGCGCTACAAGTACACATGCTAATAAAACATTCCCTAAAATTCAGGTAAAATTTCTCACACTTTTAAAATAAATATACTTATCCTGGGTAAAAATTTGAACGGCTTTCATGTCGAAATTTGGCTCAATTTTCTACAGAAAAAAACTTTATGTAGAGCTATTTGTGCAGAAAACTATTAATTTACGGTTATGCAGAATAAATCCTTAAAAATTTTCGACAGGACTATGCAAAAAAAATATGCAAAATACAATACTGTAGAATTTGACCCAGTGGTTTCTATTAATTATTAATTAAGTACTGTTTTTCTCCTAAATATTTAAAGGTTCTTCCATCCCAATTAACGAAAGGAGTCGTTGTCGTATCATGTATAACAGTTGAACCCCCACATCGTCCCCACCCGCACTATCTCGTAGGAAAAGGTTGTGAAGCACAAAGAGGTGTTTGTGTAATGGAATTATCCTCAGAAACGGATGAAATGACCGTGGAATTTGCAAATCTTGGGATTCAACGTTGCGAAGAAGATATTGAAGAAAGTTTAAGGATGAGAGAAGAAATTCGAGTGGATCCTTTTAGAAGTGGGGCATTTTTTTGTAGTAATTAATTTTTTGACGCAGTTCTAATGAATTTTATTTATTTATGAACTTCCACAGCCGGTTTCTATCATAAAACTCGACCTGATTCTATTGATTTGAATGCTGTGAGACTTGGTTTTCAAGTGTTTTTGGAAGGACCAGAACCTGGACAGTTTAAAATACCACTGAAACCAGTGGTTTCTGAAGTTATCTATGATAAGAATATGTTAATTATACTATTATCGTTTAATTTTACGGCACCTGACTAATAACACTAATGGATTTTCGAACCCGATTTTCTCAGATTGGGTCAATTGCAATTTTTTCCTTGCTAAAATGCAACATGTAGCTACATAATTTAATGAATTAAAACACTAAACAAAAGATTGCACTCGGTTTTCAAGGGATGTCGTTTGATATAACTGCTTATCATTACACAAGCATCGTCCCGGTCTTAAAAGGTAGCCTACAAAATTGTGCAGGTGACGCGATAATGCTTTCTCCCTTTCCGGCCGGCTTTATGCCTCTTGCCAGTTGTTCTAAAAACTTATGATGTAACACGTAAATTATAACGAAAATTATAAAACCTAGATTATTTATGCTCATTGAATTTCAGATTTTCCAGGAACGTGTCAAGAGGATATTTGATAAACTATGTGCTAAAAGTATTAATGAGGCGAATTGTAATTAATAACTCATTAATTATAAATAAATATTTAGTAGTTAATGAAGCGAATTATTGAAATATGTATTTTTCATTTCTGCTTCGTCCATGTAAATATGCACTTCAGAAGGATTTGCTAACAGACCTTATCAAAAGATTCAATAAAAGTACGTACATACACAAACCTAACCTTACCATGTTACACATAAATATATGTCTTGTATACTAAAATTTTGCTCGGGCTCGTAATCTTATAATGCCGGAAAATTAAGACCTAATCTCTGAGTTAGTAAAAAAAACCATATTTGAGTGGAAATTTCATTTCAAAAGTTGATGCGAGAAGTATTCAAAGGATGAACATAAATAGGACTTAGCGATGGCACTAAAGGTAATTATCAAGAGTCTAAAGACATCAGAAAAGTCAAGCTTCTCTTCATTCTGGATGTGCTTAAAGGGTTTCGTTTCTTACGGGTTTGCTACATTTCTTGCAATGGAAAGCAAGCCACGCAAGAAATGGGAGGTGCAAGAAACTGGGAGAAAGTGCAAGAAATATGCGTCATCTAGCCACGCGCCGTATGAACTATAGCGCCGAGGCGTAGTTTTTTGCACCATGCATTTCTTGCAGGTCAAAATCGATGCAAGAAACAACTTTCTTCCCGTTATTTCTTGCACGTGGTTACTTCCACCAGAAACACTGTACGCCTTCGTATTAAAGGTTAATGCTTCCTGACCTGTTTTAACATAACGAATAATTCATTTATTAACATTTCTTTCACTCATCGTCCGCTGCACTGACATATAATAATAATAATAATATCACAATTTTGTCAAGTAGTTATATAGTTATCAATTAGGTTACAGATAAGGATTTAATGGTTATTCGTCACCATCGTCAAAGTCGTTATCTTCATGAATTTCCGGTTTATAGTGCACAATGTCGTTTCGATATGTGAGGAGCACCATGCTGAAGTAGGTCTGGACGAGGCCCCAAATCCAGTGTGGGGCGATAAATGACGACGGGAAGGAGAGCACGAAAAGAATGACGCTGATGGAAAATACGGCAATTATTAAAATGCCACTCATCACGACTGAGATCAGGAGGAGGTACTCGTTGTTCTTTGCAAAAAAATATGTTCCCATTAAAAAATTGAATGCACATATGCATGATTACATGTGAATAATTATGTAGCACTTATTTACAAGGGAGGTCTCTCAGCGGATGCTCTCCGAGTTTGAGAAAATTAGTGTCAATCGATGACAAGTTTAATTAGTATGCAATTTGCGAAAGACACGACCTCCCAATGGGCACGTTTGGCAGAGATATTTGCATCCGAAGAGGAGAAAATGTGCAGTAAATATGGAAAGTGTAAAATTTGTCGACTTTACTGCGCGCTTTCTCATCTTCGAATGCAAATATCTCTGCCAAACGTGCCCATTGGGAGATCGTGTCTTTCGCAAATTTAATACTAATTAAATTCGTCATCGATTCACACTAATTTGCCCAAAATCGGAGAGCATCTGCTGGGAGACTTCCCTTATAAGGCAGGAAATCCTTCATACATATGTGTAGAATAGTCCAATTTACCTTCACCGTTGACAGTATGACGGTAATTCCAACGAGGAAAGTGACTACAGAAGAGAACGCGTAGGAAAGCAGGATGGCCCAGTAGCCTATGAATAGTTTTATGAATTTTAGTTGCATTTTAAGTAAAGATTAACTTAAGCAGGACTCGGAATAAAAGCTGCTTGTACGATCAGTGGCCGCGGAACAGAGGGACAATGTCCCCACGGTTATTCGATATCCCCATCTTATAGAAACCCCTCCCTCCCCCCATCCTACAATGTTAATGTCCCCAAATGTCCCCACACCTTCCGCGGCCACTGTGTCCAATTCATAAGAGACTCACGTTCCGCCAAATCGTCGAGCTTTTGCTCAATTTTTGAGGAGAGTCTTTCCGTTCTCTGAAGTTGATTCATTTCCTGCGTTAATCCCGTCAGAATGAAGTATAAGGACACCAGCCCCACCGTCCCGAACACCTAAAAGCAACGCAGCAAACACATAATTTTCATTTATCCAGTGGAACATAATTGTTATGTCGGGTATAAATCAGGGGCCGCGGAAGCTGTGGAGACATTAATAAAATTGTGGGATGGGGGAGGGAGGGGTTTATATAAGATGATGGGGACATCGAATAACCGTGGGGACATTTTCCCTAATCCGGCAAGTTCTTATATATTACATGAATGTATGTATGTGCAGTGGCCGGGGAAGCTGTGGGGACTTCTGGGGACATGAACATTGTGTTGATAGGGGAGGGACGGGTTTATATAAGATGGGCAGACGATGGGGACATCGAACAACCGTGGGGACATTGTCCCTCTGTCCCCACCACCCTTCCGCGGCCACTGGTCGCGTATAATGAGGAATGAAATGAGCGAGTAGATGGAACAAATTTATTAACAGATGCACAATTAGAAAGGAGGAAGGAGCTTAAGTAACAAAATTCTGGCTGTGCGTTATGTTGCCTTGCATAAAATTATTTCTTCCCAAAACGACGACCACGAACGAAGACGGAAGAAACAATGAAATTAATGTCATGATTTACATCCGGGTATTTGTTTTAATCTCGGCTTTGTTTTACGTGATGGGCAGGGTTTGGTTTCTGGCGGGTTTGATGCATTTCTTCCACTGACAAGAAATGCGAGGTGCAAGAAACTGGGAGAAATTACAAGAAATATGCGTTATCAGCGACCCGTACTTTTTTGCGCCTCGAATTTCTTGCAGATCAAAATAGCTCCAGGAAACCACTTTCTTGCCGTTTTCTGTTCAAAATGGTAACTTGTCAATGTTTCGTTTCTTGCGGGTTTGTTACATTTCTTGCAAATGCGAAGCAAAAAATGCAAGAAATGCGAGGTGCAAGAAACTGGGAGAAAGTGCAAGAAATATGTGGCATATGGCCACGCGCCGTATGAAGTACAGCATCGGGCGTAGTTTCTTGCGCCTTGCATTTCTAGCAGGTCAAAATATTTACCTGCAAAAAACCACTTTCTCCCCGTTATTTCTTGCACGTGGTTACTTGAACCCGAAACTCTGACAGAATGGTTCATATTTCCTCGGACTGAAAATATGTACTCGTATCTGACAAGAATTTATAGCCGTTTGTTGTTTAGATCATGTATCCTTTTCGCCACAACGTGACAAGTAAAAGGATACAATTTACTCGTGAAAACAATTACATTAAAATGAACATTTTTTTGTTCTGAAATCTGATCTATTAACTAAAGTTGCAAAAAATGGTGGACTTTTTTTTACGTATGTTAGTTGTTCATTTAATTGCATAATTGGAGTAAAATTACATAAATGATGATAATGGAACAGCACTTGATTGCAAAAAATGGTGTTTTTAGTTGGCTGGAAGATTGGAGTAAACTTAAATGATGTTGGAACAGTAATTCTCAGTGGCCGCGGAACTGGGGGGCAGAGGGGCAATATGTCCCATCGGTTAATCCATGTCCCCATCATCTGCCCATCTTATACAAACCACTCCCTCCCCCCATCCTACAATGTTAATGTCCCCAGAAGTCCCCACACCTTCCGCGGCCCCTGTTTTCTTACATCCCACTTACCAAATTCAGCATTCCCGTCAAAACCGACCCCGTCCTCGAATCAAGACAGCAACAAGCTACGGATCTGCACCGGCAAAATGCCATGATTACAATTACTCGACGAAATCACGATGATGAAGTGACGGGCGATTACTTAATTACGAAATCCTCTCTCTTCCCATTTAATTTACCAATTAGCACTTCACTATTTCAAATTAAAACTCTCTCTCTCTTGCTGGAAAATTCACATGTTAAATCCAAAACAAGCCACGTTTTTAGCACAAATCGATCGATTCCTAACTAATTACGGACGGACAAAGTTTGCTTTAGTCGTCAATTGAAAAATGTCATTAGCAGAGCTCCTCTAACGTTAGGTGTATATTGTAGTTAAGGACTTTCTATTTTAGTTTTTAGCTCTAGACCCACCTCTTCAAACTCAACTATGTAAATATGCACTGCACGGGCTGCGAACAACGAAAAGTTCATGCAAGTAGTGTTTCATTAACGAGTGGAAGGAAATGGAGCGTGAGTACTTATTGCGATCGATTTGTCCGTCCGTTTGTCTGTCAGCACGATAATTTTCGAAGTGGGTTATAAAAGTTAGAGGGAGTTCGCTAAATGAGCCTGTAGGTCAAAAGGTCACGGCGCTACGGTGATGGTGTCAAAGGTCATAAGTGTTGAATTTTTTGTTTTTCGATTTCTGACATTATTTCTGACGAGGAAGTGGCGAGTTTTTTGTTTCTACGATTTCTGGCGTTAATTCTGCTGAGGATTTCAGAAATTACAATACAATCCATCATTTCGCCGTACGATCACCGTAAAAATTAGGTCAAAAGTAAAAAAAAAATCGAATTTTTAGTTTAGCTCGGTTTAGACGTAGTTTGGGGCAGGGAAATCATTTCGACGTGTATCATTTACTTGGTGACTGTGTAAGCGGGGTCAGAGGTCATGAAATGTCAAATTTTCCTAGCAAATGAAAATTTGATTATGAAATGATGCACCTCGAGTAACTCATCTAATGCTCTCAGTTTCCAGGATTTTATTAATATGTGGTGTTGCATTTTATTCGCGTGAAAAAAAGAACAAAATAATCAGATTTAGGGTGTTACAGTAGCACTGCTATTTACTTTTATTTTATTTTCCTTTCCTCCAAATGGGTCCGATTATCCATATCCACCGGAACCTCTGTAATCACCATAATCATAAATTCCAGTTCCAATTTTTTTCTGCATTTTACTGTTTCTCCATCGGTTCCTGGCCACTCTCATCATTGGTGAACTTTCAGCCAAACTTGTCGTCAATCCAAGGACCAAGAGGAGCAGGATGATAAGCAATTGTAACCTGAATTGCACCTGAATAATGTTTTTTTTGTACAAAATTATTTTTAGAAAATTTTTTGCGTAAAGAAGTATTTTGAATCTTTAAATTGTCTCACTTTCATGACTGATTTACGATTGATGTTTTTACTTCCACCGAGTTTGCAAGTTATGTGGACAACTAAAAAATAAAAAATTACTTGAACCAATTAGGACGATGGCGATTTGCAGTGCAGATCGCCATAATGCAAATTTTGCATATGTTTTATCACTAACTCTGCATGAACGAACCGCAATTAAGGAAAACTGGGCATAAATTATGATACGCCGCAAAAAATGTGGTACATACGCAATACTAAACATATCCTAAGTATTAAATGCATGAAAATATATGCATAACTGACCCGACACGAGGCAAAGATGTAACCGGAAATGCATGCATAAGTCGTAATGCATACGTCAAATATGTCAAGTTTTCCTGGAAAATAATACACCTCGCGTACGCATCTTACATACTGCTCCATTTTTTATAAGAGTTCCACGTGATCCACGATTACATTATCCGAATTGCTATATTATTTAGCACTAGTTTATTTTATTTGGACGTAAAACTCATTCAATTAGTGTTATTTTGGTGTATACATTTACTCCATTTCTTAAATTCTAGACATAATTGAATGAGTTTTACGATAAAAATTGAGAATATAACAAATGGAGCAGCACTACACTCTACTTCCGCGAGTTTATTGTATCCGTTGCTACCTCGAGTTTATTTGGTCTTAGGTTAATGTTAAGTTAAAACCATTTTCTTATTTGGTGAAACAAGTGGTAGTAAAATTCTGGGTATCGATACGATACGATACACACAATGCAATCGTTGTTCATGTAAGTAAACACTTTAACATGTTAAATGCCCTGTTTTCATCACCCGTCCGACCCAAACTAATCGCAAGTAAGCCAATGCATGCATACATTGAATCGAATAAAAAACTAAAGTATTCACTAGTTAAGTAAATAAGTGACGTTGTAAACCGATTTCCGTTGTACTCGTGCTGTAGCCTGGATATTGTAAACTTGGTAAGATTGCTGATAATAAACCGTAGCAAACCAAATGTAGGAATATGGTGAAACAAGTATGTAATTCTACCAAAAAATTATGTGACAACACCCCCTGACCTCGAGGGGGTGGTCTGATTGACCCCAAAGGTTGGCAGGATCCTCCCCCTGGGGTCATACGCACGATGTCACAAACCAATCTTGATCCATTTTCCCGATACGCTGCTGACGGACGGACGGACAGACAGACGGACGGACGGGCAAAGGTTTCGCATAATAATGTGAGACGCAGTTCTTGGCAGTTGGTTAAATAAAAGTTTGCACACTCCACTCGGTTTGATTCATTCATTGATTCATTTATTCGTGTGGTATTTGCCTTCATCGAGTGAGTGTATATGTCCATTCATGCATTGTTGTACCTTTATGCATATAGGTAAACTGTGCATATGTAAATAGGCACCTTAATTTGTTTGCTTTTATGAATTAAATAAATATTATTTTATTGTTAAGTGGGGCGAATATTGATAAAATTCTGAATTTTGTGTGAATCGGGCAGGTTTAATTAGCTTAATTGCTAAATTATGTATATCTGCAGGAGCCGTGGAAGGTTGCGGACAGAGGGACAATGTCCGCATCATCTGTCCATCTTATATAAACCCATCCCACAATGTTAATGTCCCCACAGCTTCCGCGGCCACTGTATATCTGGCTTGGATTTTTTGTTGACTTTGTAAATGAGTATCGTCACTCAGCGGCCGCGGAAGGTGTGGGGACATCTGGGGCATTAACATTGTGGGAGGGGTTTATATAAGATGGACAGATGATGGGGACATTGTCCCTCTCCCCGCGGCCATTGATCACTATTATCGAAATCAGGTTATTGTTCCGGGTAAAAATAAACGTGTGGGAAAACTTTGTGATTTGAAGGAATGGAATTAAATCGTGATTGCGGAGATTCTCGTCATTCTGTCAACCAGCGTGTTTGGCTGAGCAGAGCTATTAAGCAAGATTCTGCTGGGATTCTGCCAGACACTTCAGACTTAATTATCGATTTATCTAAAAGCTTGGTGAGTTGGTGGAGACGATTTAGCTGGTTAAAAATATTTCAAATGTGCATTCATCCATTAAAAAAAGAGTTGTTTTGTACGGATTAAGTTTATCGTGCAGATTAAAATATCAACTGTTATTAATTTTACATAGATGATAAGCACAAACTTATCCAGGAATTGATATCTTACATAGCAAACCAACTTATCGAAGTATCACTGTTGCTCCCAATAACTATTTCTTTCCTCTTTCGTAATTTGCTAATAAAAAGTTTGCTCCAAATTTCGAAAATAGTTGAAAATTTCGAAAATGCACTCTAAATAACGATTTCTTTCCTCTTTCGTAACTGGCTAATGAAAAGTTTCCCCCAAATTTTGAAAATGCTAGAAAATTTCGAGAATACTCTCTTAATAACTTTTTCTTTCCTCTTTCGTAATTTGCTAATAATGCTAATAAAAAGTTTGGTCTAAAATTTTGAAAATGCTTCAAATTTCGAAAATACACTTAATAACTTTTTCTTTCCTCTTTCGTAATTTGCTAATAAAAAGTTTGCCCCAAATTTCAAAAATGCTTCAAAATTTGGCCTCTAACTCTGTACAAGTTAGAGAAAAATGTTTTGAAGTGTTTATCCAGTCGATTGCCTGTGAAGTTTTGTGGGGGCGGGCGGAGGCCCTTTCGACCGAGCTGACACTTCTCATTAGTCCTTTATTTTTCACTAATCGGCAATCACGTCGTAATGGTGGGAGTCTGCTTGGCAAGGTTTGTTGGGATAAAGTATAAGTACCAACGAACCAACCAGTCGCCGCGGAAGGGTGGGGAAGAGGGGCAATGTCCCCACGGTTGTTCGATGTCCGCATCATCTGCCCATCTTAAATAAACCCGTCCCTCCCCTATCAACACAATGTTCATGTCCCCACATGTCCCCCCGGCTTCCGCGGACACTGTTGTACATGCTCCACAGCTATGATAGCACAAAAAGAACAGTGGCCGCGGAAGCGTGTGCAGACAGGGACAATGTCCCCATGGTTATTCGATGTCCCCATCATCTTATATAAACACCTCCGTCCCCTATCCTACAATGTTAACGTCCCCACATGTCCCCCCTGCTTCCGCGGCTCCTGCCACCAACCAATCTTTTCCTACGAGTCGGTTGGAAAAACTCCTCGAAAAGCACGAGTATCCGGGCGTGCTCGACAAAGTGCTAAGAGCTATTCAATAAACTTTTATGAAATTATTGCCCAATACTTTGCGAGGCATAAAATTTAGTGGAGTGGAAGAAATGACCATGCAACGCAACCCGGCTTTCGAGAAATTAGCTGCTGGAGAAATAAAATTGGATCGGTTTCCTCCCTTAACGCGGAAAAGCATAATAATCATAACGTAACACTGTTGGTGAAACTTGAATGACAATGTGACTGCCGTGAAGTTGACAGTGATTGGGATTTATGCGCTTAACGATGTTTACGGTTAATTGATCAGGTTTACTAGTTTGTATTTGGAAGTACATAATAAATGGACCAAAAATACGTACATATGTAGAGTGAAAGGCCAATATTTCCGGTGAAAGTAGATAACCACTTGCACAAAGTAGATAACTTCCGGTGAAAGTAGATAACCACTTGCAAGAAATAACGGGAAGAGAAAGTGGTTTTCTTGCAGCTATTCACTTGACCTGCAAGAAATGCACGGCGCAAGAAATTATGCTCCGCCGCCGTACTTCATACTGCGCGTGGCACCTTTCTTGCACTTTCTCCCAGTTTCTTGCACCTCGTATTTCTTGCTTTGCAGTGCAAAAAAATGTATCAAACCTGTAAGAAACGAAGCACTGAAAGCCGCCGTATTTGCATATGCGCGTATCATGTTTTCTAATAAAAGACTTCACATCGTCCTGCACCTTCTGACTAATTTTCATGGTTCAACGCCTATATAAACATGAGCAAGTGTGGAGAAAGGGTGAAAAATGTAATGTCCAACAGTCAAGCCGGTGCTTTTATTGTGCTACAGCCAAGATTTTACTGCAGGTGAAAGTACGTGGGTGGTTATGAAT